CGAAGCTCGAAGAACACGAAGAAGACACGAAGTCGCGGTCCACGACACTGGACACGTCTGTAGTCGTCGGCGGCACCGGAGCGAAAGGACGCGTCACGCGGCACGCGCCCTATTATAGCCTCGCGCTGTGCTCGCGACATCACGACGAACGGCGACCGCGACGGCGCTTGCGCGCAGCCGCTCCGTCGAGCCTTGCGACGAACGCGCGCTGCTATTGGCCAATTATATTTACATATGTGTGATAGTGTATAAGTTAGCCATAAGAATTGTAAATATTAGTAGAGACATTGTGCCGAATAAATCATTCCAAACCACGACAGCCTCGAGTTAATTACAAGAAGAAACCCTGCTCTCACTCCTAAAGTGCTATTGCAGGAAACACAGCTTGGCAAGAAAGAGTCTGATATGACGTTTGGAACTACGCAACTTCTGTTGTGGCCACTGGCCACACTATTTAAAACGTCAAGGAAACGCCACAGATTGTACATTATTATATTGTAAACAAAGATATTATAGAGACAACAAGATTGCGCACTTTAGCCAAAAAAAACGAGCCTGGAGCAATGATGTATAAATCTATAGATACGTTGTCCGCGCTCTAAAATGGCAACATGAAATGAAGGCAATTTGACAACATCGCGCTTAGTCACGCACCAACCTCCCGCGCGACGCTACGTTTGTTATAATTTATATCGTGTGTGTAAACCTGTGCGAAACTAAAGAAAGCATGCCGTCGTGTGTGTTCAGAGGATGTACAAATTATACTCTAAAAGTTAAATACAAAAATGTGTCATTTCATGCGTAAGTTCACCAAACAACCTATTTTTATTTTATTTTTTATCGACGCCGGCGCCCGCCATCTTATGGCGGCCGGCGAAGGAAGGTATAGTCACGTGCCGTCGGCATAACTGAAGATGTATATTTATCTCCCTCTAGCAAAGGCATTCCACTATACGATGTCATATTTTCTTTCCCTTTCTTTACTCGTAGAAGTAGTTATCTAGTATTTTCGCCGTTTTTAAGCGCCGCGATGTTGGTTCATGACGTGTCTATATATAATACGTCATTGGCCTGGAGTGACTACACGATTTCGTCTTCCGCGGACAACGGCTAACAAACAAAATATCATTTATATACTATGTATTATTAAATAACTTTAATTACTGCGAGGCAAAATAAATTCATGCATGTAAGATAGGAAAACAGGCGTAAGTATGTGTATAACGTAGATGACAACGATTTTAGGATATAAGACCTTTCCTTATTAAACAATGTAATTCTTGCAAATAAACACTTTTGAATTTTGAATTTTTTGAATTTTGAATTTTATGTGGAGCCATATTGTGCGAATCGACGCAACTGTGTCGCCACTTTCTGGGTAGTCCGCGCCATATCAGCACGAGTACTTAAAATGACAATATCTCAAATGTTTTGTACAGGAGCTTATGTAAAACTTATATCATTGGAATCGTTATGAAACAAGCTCCCATTTAAAATACAGATTAGTCCAGTTTTATTTTGTAATATATAATTAATTGTGCTTTGAAATCAGGTTGAGCTTTTAGCAGTAGAGCAGTTTATGGTACTTTAGAGGTATGAGGAACAGGGTGGAAAGTTCCTCATCCTCCATTGAAAAGGGAGGATCCTCCGACCAGGCGAGGTGTTCGTGCCTGGCTGGGCTACTGCCCGACGGTTGTTGTCGGGATATTTGTATGGGTGCTAATTGTGTGGAAAACTCTTATAGCGCGATGTAGATTCTTGCTCGTGATTGGTGCTGTTGTTTATAGATGTCGCTACATCACTCCCCTCCGAGACCGGAGGTCGTTAGCTGGTTGAGACGTCTGTGAGATGCTTATCGAGCCAGTTGATGGTTTCAGTGCGTCGAATCTGTCTGCGAAGATGCCCCAGTGAGTCGGGTGGTGCAGTGCCGAAGAGTGGCTAGCTGCTGCGTCGACCAGGAGAGGGAGTACGTCTCTGCTTGCTGACCGGCCGGTGCAGTATGCTGTGCCGAAGTTGCTGATGAGGCTGTAGGTGCTGACCAGGAATGCGCATTGGCTGCATGCTGGTGGTCAGGGAACCCGTTGTAGCCGTGGAAGCTGCTGACTGTAGGATTCGCTGCTTGAAAGCTCCAGGAAGTGATGACGTCATGGCTATGAAGTAGTTGCACGAAGGCTGCTTGATGTTCATGTTCGGGGTCACCAATTTAGAGGTATGAGGAACAGGGTGGAAAGTTCCTCATCCTCCATTGAAAAGGGAGGATCCTCCGACCAGGCGAGGTGTTCGTGCCTGGCTGGGCTACTGCCCGACGGTTGTTGTCGGGATATTTGTATGGGTGCTAATTGTGTGGAAAACTCTTATAGCGCGATGTAGATTCTTGCTCGTGATTGGTGCTGTTGTTTATAGATGTCGCTACAGCACTATTGCAAGGAAAGATTGGTCTTTGTAGAGCCAGTGTAGTGGTGTTACTGACATCGGTGGTTCACGATTTTGATTACAACATTTTGAGCAACGTCGAGAGCTGACATCGTTCGTTGGCCACTAACATCGTTTTTCAATAACGGCTTGATAACGGCCACGGCGGCTACCTCTAATTATTGACAATGACAATGACATTAATGACATTAGACATGTCTGCGAGCTGTCAAATCGTCATCCAAAAAGTCATACACAGCAATAGGTAGAGTCCGTCTCACGAAAGAAGTCCCGCAGACGCGGCGCTGCCGTCTAGTCACAGAATGTTGCCAACTTCACTGTTTAAGACTCCCCAAATGTTCGGCTTAACATTTAATATAAATAATGAAGTTGAATTTATGGTTCGATCTGATTTTAATATCTTTAATAATGTTCACTTCAGTAGAATATTATAAAGACATTAAAAAAAATTAAGACATATAACGACAAAATGGAGCGTTTTAACCATGAAATATTTGCCATATTAAAGTAAATCAGGTAAAAAAACAAACATTTTAAATTTTTATCGTGTAATTATGGTCATCAATAGGGGTTATGCCTGACATGCTACAATCACTATCTGAATTATCTACATTAATGTCACTGTCGTGATCAGACTCAGTTTCGCTATCGCTTGCTGTAGATATTATGAAGCGGTCCATTTCTTCATCTATTAAACCGTCGTTTTTAAAATATTCGTCTTCTAGATGCTCTACGTGTTTGCATTGTTTGAACCAATCTTCTGCTGTCACGCTTGCAAACGAATCTTCAGTCAATTTTACAATTTTTTTCGGGTCTTGATCGACATTTTTTTCTGCTACGCGTCTTTTCACAAGGCTCCATATTTTTTCGATCGGGTTCAGATCGCAATGATAGGGTGGGAGCCTTAAAACTTCATGATTATGACTTTTTAGTAATTCGTCTACGACGTACGTTGGTTGTCCTTTATTTTCTTTAATTATACCGAACAAAACGGCTTTTGTCCAGGTCTCTTCAAAATGGATACCTTTTTCTTGCAACCACTTTTGCATATCGACTTTTAAGCTTGACATGGTTGGTGCTTTATTTGTTTGTGTGCAATGGTATGGTGCATTGTCCATAACCACAAGAGACCTTTCTGGCAAATTCGGAATCAACATTTCGTTCATCCACTTCAAAAAATTTGTGGAATTCATGTCGTCATGATAATCAGAGGACTTTGTTTGTGACTTAAATATTAGTAAGGCATTATTTATAAAACCATATTCAGATCCAGCATGAGCGATAATCCATCTACTCCCAGCAGACTCTGATGTAAAAAGTCCTGGCTCTTCTTTACTTTGCCAACAATTTTTGGCATGGTATGTATTGTGAATATACGTTTCATCTAAAAACACCACTGGTCTTTTTTCAACGTTTCGATTCTTTCGCATTTTTTTCTATATATCTGGCGCGCCAAGCAGTGATATCATAGCGCTCCATCAATATTTTCCTTTTAGACTGGCATCGTTTGTATTTAAATCCAATGCTTTGCAATATCCTATGAAGTGTAGCCCGGCTTCCATCAAAATTAATATCTTCTTTCAAGACTGCGAGTAATTTGTTTAGAGTAGGCAGTTCTTTTTTTACAATGTAAAATTGGTGAATTTTTTGGCGAATAGCACAAAGATCGAAACTATCCAGGTTGACACTTTTTCGACGAGGACGACTCTTCCCTGGTGTTACGATCTTTTTTGAAGTACTTGCAGCCATTTTTCCTTCCTGTATAATTCTTGAGACGGTTTTTTCAGAAACACCTGAAAAATATTCTCTACGTGAGTACATAATGTTGATAACAAAGTTTTTTTTAAATGATTGAATTTTATATTTTATTCGATTTAAATATTGTGAGACAGAACTTGAATTAAGTGTTGTTTCGGGATTCTTCTAATTTATTGCCTAGATTTAAACAAAACAGATATATTTTATTATTAGTAGGAATATTACATTACGTTCTTTTGTAAAAATAAATTTTCGGCAAATATTCAATCACTAACAATAACATATAAAATGGTAAAAACTAGATTACTGGTATCCCTAAATAAGTACCTGTCATGGCGGCAACTCTCTTGCGAACATTGTTTATTGGTATCAAAACACCATTATTCCGTTGTTCTGCTTCACAAAACTCCTTTACCTTCAGTATCATTTCTCTACCAGCACTTTTTACAACTTTAGGCATTATAAACAAAACTTAAACTCAGCAAATTATCAAAAATCTCAACAGCTCACACACACAGTGACACCACCGATAAACGACAACATGCACGAGCTGTCAAAATTAGTTCCAATTATTGCCGCGGGACTTCTTTCGTGAGACAGACTCTAATAGGTAGTCATCGTAGTCATCCAGCACAGCAGAGCTGTTTATGGAGTTCCAAACCATAATTATTAAATATCCTCATAGGCTATAGCACTTAGTAGGAAATTTATTATTAGCAAGCCGTACAATAAAACAACGATGAATATAAATTCAAACAACTATGCGTGTAAATAAAAATAGGACACCGTTGAAATTTTAAGTATATACAATAAACAATTATTAAATAGGTATCATTGTGATGTTTATGAAAGATCAAAATTAGTGTTTAAGTGTGGTGCAGTAGTATATTCCTTGTGAAATAGATATTTGGTGATATTAGTGATAATGAATACGCGAGTGTTGTCAGTTTTGATGTGGAAACATGCGATGGTTAGAAAACGGAGGTTTATCCAGACAGCTGTGGAATTCGCATCACCTATCATGTTCTTCTTGTTATTGTTTGCTTTCAAAAACCATATAACACGAAAACCAGCCGCAGATCATAGAAATCCAGTTGCCAACACAGTAAGTTGTAATTTGTGCTAGTCTAAAACAATATAATTATGTAAACCACAAAATAAGTAACTGAATACTAAATTGCTAAAGTAAACTTACCAAAGTAAGTTCATAATATGACCATTTCCATACCAATCTTAGAATAAATCAATAAGTAACTTGAGTCTTCTCTCCTATAATACAAATATTTATTTTTTCTAATAAATATAATGTTTATATGATTTCACTTTCATTCCTTACTTGTTAATTATTAACTTGGCTATGTTTTACACATTATGTTTGGTTATGAATTTAGAAAATGTTCAGCCAGTAGGCATTGTGTATATCGGTGAATTGTAATTTATTTAATATAACGCTCACCCACACTCAACCTGAAACCCAGTTTCACTTAGTTTGTACTAATTTGAAAGTTTATGGGTGCTCATGGGATTCCTTATTTCTGCTTCTCCATTGCAATGAAACAATGAATTTATTTTTGCAAATAGGCCATAAAACGGCACTTTTACACATCAAATTATATGTGAAGAACTAGATGAAGCTGGCATTTCCTATCTGACTACTCTGAGAACAAATGCTGAAACAAACTCAGAGGTCAGTTTCAGTGCAAAACTACTTTTCGGAATAAGCACTTAACTTCAATGATGGACAACAGGCAAATTTATACATAAAAACAATGAATTTATGAATTATAACAATCAATTTATTTTTGTAAACAGGCCATAAACAACACTTTATCATATCAATATTATATAAATGAAAAAAAAAAAAATAAAGCCACCATTTTCTGTCTGAGAAAAAACTCCTAATAGGTCAGTTTCTTTTAACCTCTCACCACTTGTTTGTTGGTATATAAAACACAAAAAACAACTCATTGTGACTCACATAGATCTGTCCTTCAGCAAACTATAGCTTAAATCAAAGGTGCCACTGATTGAAAGCATTAAAAGAACATAATTTTATAAAAGTAGTATGGTGTAACATCATCAATAATTTACCTCCATTACCTACCTTTTTGTAGGAAGTTTATAAACCACCACCCTACAATAAAACACATATTATAAGGGTTATATCTATACTAATATTGTAAAGAGGAAAAATTTGTAATTTGGAACCGCTGGTCGGATTTCTAAAATTCTTTCACTGATACATAGCTACAATGTTCCTGAGTGCTATAGGCTATAAAACATCACGCTACAACCTGTAGAAGCCGAACAGTGGGTGAAACCGCACAAGAGTAGCTAGTTTAATATAATTATAAACAATTCATTTTTTAAGTAAGACATTTTTTTAAGTAAGGCATTATCATATTGTGTGATCTTGCTGTTTTAATAAGAACAGAATGATTGTGTACATACACTTATTGTCCTATGTAGTAACTGATACAGGTTGTACTTACTTTAAGATACAAAAAAAAAATAAAAAGAAATAATAAAACCGGCAATCCCTCCCCAATCCCTAAATCTTTGAAATCTCAACCTTCAAAGGCCAACAATGCACTGGTTACTCCTGTGATTTTGCAGGTTTCTATGGGTTAATACCCATAGAACCTTGCAAGTACTACCTTCCTATTACTATATTAAATTTATAAATAAAAAACCAATACATGTTACAAACTTTTACAATTGTATATTATGACTTCCATTTAGCCAAGCCCGTGTTGTGTCTATCAAGCATGAAACTATTTATTCCTGCTAACCATAACAAAGTTCATGCTTACTGTATTATATTAACTTGAATTGTAAGAAGATGCCATGAATGTGGATTGTGTGCAAGTGCTTGTTTATAATCTGGTTACATAATTGTCGTAGGTATTGTGTGCAGTAATGATAAAATTGTATAAATGACATAACAATTTTTTTTTACTTTTGACTAAAACTTATCATACAGGTCATCAATAGACCTTTCTACATCAATACATCAATAATGACATGACCCATCTACCCAAACTCGGGCATCAATGTGGATGCACCAAGACTTTTGACTAAAATACCTAAGTACATACTAATAAGTTTTGAAGTAAGTTACCTAAAGTTTGTGAGACCAGTGTTTTTACCTATTCATACCAAACTTCCCTCCATATCCCCTATTTGTCCAATCCTCAAATCCCTTAAGCCAAAAATAAGTGTGTACAAGGAGTAGATTTCTGAATTTTTTGAGGATACAATTCACGCAACCATATCAATAGTGGCTGTGGTTTTTGCAAAACTGCAATAATGGGCCTTAATGGTCCATACCCGTGGCCATGGGTGGTCGCACGATCCTCTTGTAAGAGTTGTTTACAAGAGACTCTCGGTCCCCCAGTTTCGGAAGTAGCGTTGAAAGCGGCCCCTCGTCGAATATCGATTTGGATTATCCCAGGTATTTTATAGTGGACTCTACCACGATAAAAGCCTCATCAAGCATGATGTAAGAGGTATAAAAAAAATCTGTAATTTTTTTTATTTACATTTAATTAAAATACTTAATATACCTACATACATGTAGGTACCACTGAGTTCGATAACTTTTGGTCATCTTGTAGAGGTAGGGACATGACAAAATACCGCGACAAGTGGTTTCTGCAGTCGTCTCCGGAAAGGTTAACATCAGAACAAGTGGTTCTGGTGTCACTAACTACAGAATTCTGAAAGACCTGGCAGATGCATTATCCTGCCACCCTTTTTTTGTGAAGGGAAAATCATGAAATCATTGTCCCGCTCTGGGTGGGGCGGAAGAGAGTGTCAGAATCATACTGACTAACCCCCCCACCCCACCCCCGTTCCTTCTCATGATTTAGGCCGAGGCCGCGGCGACTTATTGCGCTTGTCCCGCAACCTCGGCTGTACATCAGCCCTATAGGGCCCCGTTTGTAGTGGTCTATTGGCCTTTTGAGGCGCGCGAGAAACGCGAAGCGCCGTACGCTCGGATCTGGTTCTGATCAGGCGGCGATCTACCCTTACTCGCCGTCCACAGACCCGCGCTATGGTGAATCATCTCTCGATCCCCGACGTGTCGCCGACTGCGCGGGTGGGGCGTAAGGAGGATAGTTATTCCTGCTTCGCAAAAAGAGTTCCTCTCGCTCCGCACCATGGCCTCGACTAAGGCCAGGTGCGAGACGTCACCACCGCCGATCACTTCCTTGAGGACACGGCAGTATAAGATGATCTCAAATGCCATGTTTTACCTCTAACTAGCTAGCGCTGTTCTCACGCAGTTTCACTGTCCGCTCGACTCATATAGATCGTGGCTTAATGTTTTAGCATATAGCACACAGGATCATTGTAGCTATCTAACAGTGAAACAATTTTAAAAATCCGACCTGCAGTTCTTAAAGTTTACCTCCTACATAAAAACATAATTTTATTTTACCTGTTTATAATATTAGATATTTACACTGTTGATTGAACCAAACGTTTTGAGAAGCTAAGCGATGGAGTTTTGTCAACTTGATGTAAAGTTTTGCCTGCTCAGCTTATAGCTGACGGTTTTAATAATTGTTAAAACCATAACATCAACATAACTGTAACACGGTTAAACGTAGCAAAAAACGTAGTAAGTACAATTTTAATTTCGTGCACTACTTTGAAGCACCCGGAATGTTTTTTTTTTTTATATATAAACTTTGCCTTACATTAGGATTTTCTCCTGTGTCGTGGGTGCGGTTACAAACATATAATATCACATACACATGACACCCAGACCCGGAACAACTATTTGTGGATCAAACAAAGAGTTGTTCCGTACGGGAATCGAACCCGCGACACGTTGTACGGCAGCCAGTTGCCCAGCCACCCGCCACCGCACCAACCGTGCAGTCAAATACCTAGGGATCGTATAAATTTATTATTTTTTTATTGATTGCAATCTCAAAATCCCTTTATTCGTTCAATTACGAACAAAATATTATTAAAATAAAATACCTAACTTAACTGTGCAAAGTATTTATTACACAATTCACCGTCGAGGAGAGCGAAATACTCTTATTTGTAAACTATCTTTATTTATTCTACTTATGCCCAAGACCCAGACGATCGATATCATCCTCTCTTAACTTGGCGCCAGCTTTCCTTATGGGATCCATGGGAAATTTGGCGCCCTGCCAACAACGCAAAGTAGGTAAACGGAAGCATGCCTGGTACCAATCCATGGGGTCTTACATCATGACCTTATTTTAAATTTTCTTAATTTTTTCGCAGGAAGTAATACCTATAACAGATTTCCCGGTTCCACATTGGATCTTATACTATCCCGACACGCCACTCACTGAGACACTCATGAATGAAGTGGGCCTCAAACTTAATCTGAAGAAGCTTGACAATTTTCCGGGTATGTATATATGTTATTAATTCAGTATTAGTATCTTTTAACTTCTGCAGACCGTAATTATCTAAAATATTTCTTAATAGCAATTTATAGTACTTGAGGTTGACTCGTATCTGCTTTGTATTTGACTGAATACTGGTAGTACATTTTCACATTATTCCCAATTTTATTTTCTTATTAAAAAAAACGTTGCTCCACACTACTTTTCGCCTTTGTCGTGGTTAGATAGATAGGTTACAAACATACAATTTCACATACACATGACACCCAGACCCGGAACAACAATTTGTGGATCACACAAAGAGTTGTTCCGTGCGGGATCGAGTCCGCGTCACGTTGCACGGCAGGCAGTTGCCCAGCTAACGCACTAACCTTGCAGTCAACGTCAAAGATATGTTTCGTCGTCTGTGTCAAATCACCGAAAGTCTAATCGCCGAGTGCATTGCTCTATATTGAGCACGATTTCAGGCTAGTTAAAAATTTAATCAAGATTGACATTTCGAATACCCCCGACGGTCCACCAACCCCGGAACACCATTTGCCATAATCTACAATAATTACCTATATGCTTGCTTAATCTACTTTGAAGTACGTTAATGGTATTTTGTAAAATGGCACAATTATTAGATACCTACTTATGCCATTTTACGAAATACCAATAATATTCACTATTTAATGGATGTGCTATTTCTTCCTTCCTTTTCAATCACTTTAACTATTAAAAATTTAAAACTATTAAAGCATACCTACATAGGGATATGGAGACAAGAAAGCGAGCGTTTTATACTATGAAATAATAAGTACTTACCTACTTTAATAGAAAGAACAAACATCATAAATGATCATGGAAACACGTAAAAAGTTTTCTTTCGGCACCGCCGCCACTATGGCGTAGAAAATAATAATCGGCAATACATGACCTGATGATGAGAAACTTAGTTGAATTATTTTATGGATAAAATTAACTTTAACTTATGGATTCATTTATCCTTTTTCGTGTGTTAGAGTGGCAAATGAGCAGACCGAATACCTAATGGTAAGCAATCAGCGTCGCCTATGGATACCCGGTGACTGTTTTGCCGGCCTTTAATTATCAGGTTTTCGGACATTTGGATAGGAATGGGGCGAGTAGAAAGATTGGACCTCCGGTAACCTCACTCAAACGAAGAACACAATAATTTGGTTGTGTCACGCAGGTTTCCTGTGAGATATCAAGCACAATACCACAAAATCCAACTAAGAAATCACTTCGGTTGACCAGATCCATTCGTGCCGAAGCATGGCTCTCCCACTCTAAATACTTCTCTTAATATAAAACTTAAAACCCACCCCATGGGTTATTGAGAAAATTAAAATAAAATAAAGTAAGCTAGACAAATAACGAAAAAGATATGTATGAGCAGTAAAGGTATTGAAATAATGGGAGCCATGTTGTGAAGTGCGTCGCATCAAAGCCTTACGTAATACAAATGCTTGGTCCGGAAAAGCTGTCATCGCAGGGCATCATGCGCTGACTACGTCTACCAGGTTACGTTGAAAGTATACATATTCTGTTTACAGTTGATGTAATATATTATCGATGCAGTCATTGTATTTTTAGACAACTGAAGCCAACTTACCAAAACAATTATGAATGGTCTTGCTTGGCTCGTAACTTGATAACCCGCAGAATATTTTGATGGATTGATTTATTTTGTGAATAAATTTAATAAATTACAATGGAGTTACATTTTTTCTGGAATTTGACTGAAAAAAATGCCTAAGAAGTTATTACATTTAGTTTAAGGGTGTGACAGCCAAGCTTCGGCACGAATGGGTCGGCTCGACCGGAGTGATACCACGGCCTAACAGAAAACCGACGTGAGACAACCACAGCGTTGTGTTTCGCCGTGTGAGTGAGGTTACCGAAGGCCCAATCTGTCTCCCTCCCCCATATTACTGCTATGCTAAAATATCCGAAACCCTTATCCCTTAAAGGCCGGCAACGCACTCGTAACTCCTTTGGTTTTGCGGGTGTCCATAGGCGGCGCTGATTGAAGAAAGAAAGAAAGAAGAAAGAAAATGCATTTATTCGGCATCAGACATGAAAGCCATAAAGATTGCTTACCATTGGGTAATCCGTGTGCTTGTTTACAGACCTATACCATAAAATAAAGAACCAAACATTTCGAAGTCAAATTTGTATTTATTTTTATCAGCATCAGCGTCCATTAAACACCCTGGTTACAAATTACTAGCGTTTTAGAGGTTAGGATTGGAAAAAGAGGATTTGGTCTCCTTTATCTGTTAAGGGGGAGTCCAGAACTGATTACAAAACCGCGTGCCACGAGCCGGGGCCACGATCGCTTGCACTCGCAACGGTAACTCCACTAATACGGCGAAATACAATATTATAACGTTGTAATTCGAGACACAATAAAAGAACAATTTGTGCGCGAATGCCGGCATTCCCTTGGGGTTCGATGGATTAAGAAATGCTGTTGTTTAGTTATGATTTTTTAAAGATACAATAGTACCTAGACTACTACACTACTACTACTACTACTACTACTACTACTACTTATTGAACACATAAGAAAAAGTCCATGACATATCTATTTTCTTCGTCCAATGCACCTTTTTTTTGGCACAGATTACACCGTAAGAGGGTACTTTCCTTGTACAAATGAAAGTCTCATCGATGAATTTGCATCTAAAATGAGGTTACGAGAGGCCATCGTCATTTTTGAGGTAAGTCTTATTTATTTATTTAATTCACTAAGGACTTAATTTTCAATGGTTAGATAAAAGTTACGTGGGGAATAATTATGATGCTGTCAGAATGTTTGTATAAGACAGTGACAGCAACAATTTTATTCCTCAGATAACATTTATTTGCAATGTTATGTTTCGCTTTAATACCCGTGTAATTATACGTTGTTGTAAGTTTGAAAACATTTATCTGACTACTGAAAAATCAGTCCTAAGCCGCTTAAGCTATTATGTGTGGAGCACGCCTATCTATAAGCAGCCTACCAGTCGTGCAATTCCCAAACTTTACCCAAATTAAACCTATAATAAAAAATCGAATGGTTTGTTACTTTTGGTGTGTGCTCGAGGCCTTAGAGTCGACCTCTTTTTCCACAGGCTACAGGCACCTTTTTCTTTAATACTTTACTAATAATAATATACAGAGGAATGATTTGATTGTGTTTTTGTATGAATGAATAGGCTCTGAAACTACTTAACCAATTTGAAAGCTACTCTATCCCCGGTGAACTTAAGCTATAACCTACGCGAGTACAACTGCAAGACACAGTTAGTATGATATAGGGCAAAACCTGATAGTTAACAATCGGAGCCTGATGGCAAGCAATCTAGAGAATGATGAAGAATTTGGGGAAGGGGAAGGGGAAGATTGAGTCTTAGGTAACCTGACGTGCACAGCGAAACGCAAAGCTGTTGTTTCAAGCTGCTTTCCTATGAGATCGTGGTATCACTGTGGCTGTGGTGGCTGGCATTGCCTCTAGCCTCGAGCCTCTTGGCACGCTTCTCAGTAAATTCATAGAGGTTCCCGGTTTTTAGTTGAAGAAAATTTAGAACTACCAAGTGTTCTTTGAGTTGAAGCAACTAATTCTGAGAATATTCGGCAACCGAAAAGCCTCAATAAGTTTGCCGGTCTCGTCAATTTGATTGAAAGCCATGATAAAGCGATATACGTACTTTTATTTATTTATTTATAACTTCATGAAAACCAACATTGTGCATAAGGCGGACTTAACGCAATTTTCTTTCAGTCTACCTTTGGTTTCCAGTCCACTTTTACTATTTTATAGATAAGCTAAAATTTTATTGTTTTTTTTTTATTTAATTTTCTTTTATATCTATAATTTAGAATACACACTTTAGCTTAAAGCTAAAACAAGTTCAGAAAAGTAAGTGCGTGAATTAGGAAATCCCTTGTTTGAGGCGAGAGTTTGTAAAAAATATTATACATTTATTTATTTATTTAGGAAAGACTGTTACTATATACCTATATGGCTAAAAATCTCATCATCAATGTTTTGTCCAATCAGAAAATGTCCGATGAGACATGGCCGGATAGGCTGAACTATACGATACGTATGAAGGACCACTTCGGGATCGACTCTTACGAGAGCCTAGACGACACTCCTGGGCCACACAAAATGTTTGGTAAGTCGCCAGTTTAGTTATCTTACTAATATTACAAACACGAAAGTTACGATGTTTGGATGTTTGTTACTCAATCACTCCAAAACAGCTGGATGGACCTGGATGAAATTTGGTACAGGTACTGTATACGCTCCGGATAGAACATAGGCCTTTTTTATCAACTTACCACGGGGGCGAAGCCGTGGACGGAAGCTAGTCTTTACATATTTTAAAAGACTAACGGTACTGTGAGGGTCAAAAGTGCAATTGCACTTTACCTTTATGTATGAGTACTTATACATATTTACCTTCAACTTTCTTTAACGAATTGTCAATTTTACTACAATAGTACCTATATTTAATTCTTATTGAAAATCTAAACAAATGTACCTTCTAAAAAATGTATAGGTTTGAGGACCTACATTTTTATTACCAATACGCTTTTATTTTATTAAACCGACATGTATCGAATGTAATAGCAATATGATACAATCGACCAGCTCTGATGAGGGAATTGAAAGATGGCAGATGGAACCTTGGGAGTTTCTTGATGATGTATTCATAGTAGCATGATGAAAATCATTTCTTCGGTTTTTTTATTTATATGATAAGATGGTAAACTTTTAGACGTACCTATTACCTGATGGTAAGCCATCGGCGCCGCCCATGTAAACCAAAACCGGAGGAGTTACGAGTGCGTGGCCGGCCTTTTGGTGATTAGTTTCGGAGATTTAGAGATTTGGGGATTGGAAGTATTGTTTTTTTTTAACTGTGGATTTGTTTTTCATGTTTATTTCATTAATTAGGTCGAAAATACGAGACGTTCATGCGTATCCAGTGGGCCATCGACATGAGCTACATCAAACTCCTGACTAGCACTGAAGTCCCTCAGGTAAGACTATATTAATGGATTAATGTAATACATGCGTATCTATAACTGTTTTAATATAGATTAATTGGTTAGTTTTCTCACTCAAAAATTTATTATATTTGCATTTTACTGCTACACTAAAGAGAATTTTCAAAATTATCCAATTACTCAATAAAGGATCCAAGGATCCGTGTGAAATATCCAATATTTCTCTGTATTTAAACTTAATTTATACTTTTTTACACAAATAATCTTCTTTCGTCGTAATAATATCAAACATTGATAAAAAGGTATTCAACTTACTATAAACAACTAAATAAAAAAATTGACACTAAAATAAAACCCAATACTAAAATAGTTACATTAAATAAATAAAAACCATCAAAGGGCATCGAAATATAAATAAACAATATTAATTGAATTAAAATTTGTGTTTGTAAAAAGCTACCCAAATGTTAGTATTTGGTTGCTACTGGCAACACTATTTTTCAAACTGTCAACCTACACTATGATAAACATCGATATCATAATTAAAACTAAATAAACATAAACTAATGTAGCGATAAAGTTATACGTCGTCATAACCCGGAGGTTTTTTTTGTCAGGGGAAAATCATCAAATAACTTCTTCACTCTGACTCTTACTGACCAAAAACCCTCCCGTTTCTTCTCCTGCTCTAGGCCAAGGCCGCGGTGCCTCATTACGCTTGCCCTGCAACCCCGGCTAAACATCAACCCTATAGGGCTGATGTCTGTGTCTGTTTATTGGCTCTTTGAGGCGGGCGTGGAATACTACGCGCCGTACGCTCGAGTCTGGTTCTAGTTGAGCGGCGAGCTACCCTTATTCGCCTTCCATAGACCTAGTCTTTCGATCCCCGGCTCCTGGAGTGTTGCCAACTGCGGCGGCATAACTGCTTTACAGAAAGAGGAGACGGCTTCCAGTTCCTCTCGCTCCGCACCATGGCCTCGACTAAAGCCGGGCGCGAGAGGTTGCCGCCGTGTAGCCAGGAGGTTAAGGCTTCTGTCGCACTCTAGCCAATTTCAAGTGTATCGATAATCGATATCGCTTTAGAAACGCAATAAATGTACGGAGATCTCTAAAGGCCGTCAGGAAAAACATCCATCATAAGGGGACTTGGACTTATAATCACTAATTACGGTCTAGTTTTAAATCGCCACCTTGAGCAAGCATACTGATTAATGCTCATACCTTCTCCGTCGTAGTGGAAATAGTGGACTCTTGATATGGGCTAAAGTAATAAAAATGAGATTTCGAGTTTAGTAATAGGTTGTATAGTTTCACTGAAAATCAGCGCTGGCACTCCTCTCCTTTATATTGTCTCGACATTATGCTGAGCGAGGGTCGTCTCACGTAGGTACTAGGTAGGTGTGACGCATATTTCCCATTATGTACTTTCTTCGTTCGGTCTTATTGTATTCGTTTATTTTCAGTTTTTAACTCGTGAATAAATGTTTATACTTTCTTTTTTTCCCTGATGATTATACTTTCCTTTTTTTTTTTCTTTCTTAAATGTTCGTTAAGGCTATTTCATTTGGAAAACCCGTGAGAACAGTGACATCAGTCCAGGTTTCCTCACGATGTCTTCCTTTACCGTGTGTTAGTGGCGTCTAAATATCATTCTAAAGAATCAAAGATTAAAAAACAACAACCCGAATATATTTGCCATTTGACCCCATGAACAAGGTCTTACATTTCAATCATGGAGAAAACAATGCCTATTGTTAGCAAACAGGATATGGTCACAGGCTAGTAGTATTACAAATCACCATGCAATTATCTTATCATTCATGGTTTACGCCAGATGCACGGATAACATCATAAACAACACTACACAAGATAAATGAACTCTAATAGTAATGAAATAAAAACTGTTTTTGTCTACTGAGTATTTCTAGTCACTGCAAAAGGGGTGTGTAAGTATGTAGTACCAACATCAATATTACATACTTCGTATTTACATAGCTAATATATTGTCTTCGTTACCGTCATTGAAAATAATTAAGCTGGATATGTTGTAATTATGGTCCATCAGTTCGTCTTAATTTTATAGAAAATGGTGCAGCAGTTTCTGCTAAAAATGTCACAGACACACGTTTTTATTTAGCGTAGCAGTTACACTATTCATCTATTTAATTATAAAAACCAACGAACTGTTTTATTTTACCTTTTCTTTTATAAAAAGCGTTGCCCCACACTAGGATTTTCTCCTGCGTCGTGGGTGCGTTTACAAACATAGAATTTCACATACACATCACACCCAGACCCGGAACAACAGTTTGTGGATCACACAAAGAGTTGTTCCGTACGGGAATCGAACCCGCGACACGTTGCACGGCAGCTAGTTGCCCAGCCACCGCCCCAACCGTTTTTTTTTTTGTTTTGGGTTGGAAAATCCTCATGGAGACCCATCGCCCTCGGGGAAGGGCGAAGGGTACTGTCAGACTCTTACTGACTAAAAACCAACCCGGTGTTCCTGCACTTACCCATGTGTCGGAGGGGCGGGTATCGCCGAAGCATTCGTCGCAATCCCCCGACGGGTATTGGCCCGCCAGATGGTAAGGCGGGCCCCGTCACCCACTGCGGCCGTCACCCCGACCGCAGGACCCCACTATGAGGCGCGCGCGGAACACGGCGCCGCCGCCTCGAGGCCTGCTGCTGTGTTGACCAAAGGAGTGGATAGAGCCAAGTATAAAATGTCAAAAATACTTTGCTTGACCCGGGAATCAAGCAAGTACTCGACTTAAGAGATTGCGGGTCAAGCGCAAGAATGTTCCCCGGCCCTTCTGGAGTAGGAGAAGAAACGGGGTAGTTTTGGTCTTTCGTTCCCAACCAGGGCAACTCATTCAGTGATTTTACCCCAAAAAGGAAATATGCGTATGGAACATATTACAAGAAACCGAGCTACCCTTACTCGCCGTCCGTAGACCCGCGCTTACTGTGGCCGGAGATCATCTCTCGATCCCCAACGCCCGGAATGTCGCCTACTGCGGGGGCTGGGGCGCGAGGAGGATAGCTCCCTCAAAGAAATAATGCTTAACATCTAAGGATAATGATTAAACAATGCTTCACAATTTTAGCGACATCAATACTAGAGTCCTCTATCACGTTATGCAACAAGAAACTGCAATTATTTCACAACTGCATTTTGTCACTGAATGACCTTAAAACGGTTACTTTTCAATCGCAATGAGTTTTAAATGGGAAAGCTGGAAGTGTCTTAATCACTTTATCAAAGCAAGCGATCAACATTCGCGTAAACCACATCCCTGATCTCTGGATCCTGACTGTCTTGAATTAATCTTCAATCAAAAATAGTTCTCAGGTCAGCCTATAAGTTAGCCGCTGCTGAGTAAAGGCCTCTTCTCACACGTAGACGTTTTAAGCGTTAATAACCATTATAATTAGAAGTTATAAGTCCAGGTTTCCTCACGATCTTTTTCTTCAACGTATGTCAGTGGTGTTTAAATAATCATAGAAAGTACATATAACTCGGAAACTCTCGTTTTCGACCCCGCACGTTCAAGTATAAGAAATTGGTGACTTAACCTCCGGGCCACCAGGACCGGATCCTCTTATTGAAGTTTGAAGCTCTGACTTTTATTGAGCAAAGGGATATCAAGTGGGCGTATCATTGATTGTACGTGACCTTTGCAAATGACTCATACCCATATATCAATCAATTGGCTGCTTTAATGTTCTGTGAAATATGTTTTAATAAACATATGAAGTATCTTGCTACCGCCACAGCAACTGTCTTATTCTCATAAAATACATTACTTTTCCTACTTTTGTGCTAAACGCTGGGTGGAACTGGCTTTGACGACATTGCCCTAACGTCGTAACCAAGGCCACTACGTATCCATTCTATAGATACTGTTCAAATGCGTATCGTGACGTCATCGCGTCATGACGATTTTCCATAATAACCTTTAGCCTCAACAAAATAAAGAAATGCATTTTTTCTAAAATTATATTGAATAAAGAAATGTTTTCGACTAATAAAAATATTTGTATCTTTAATTTCCCATACTTTTTATAACTACTGTATTTTTACATCGGCCCTTTTGGTTTTCGCGGTAATTGGCAACGTCGCGTTCATTTTTTTTTTATATATCATATCTACTTAAGAGTAGTTTGTCATTACACTTGGCAAGCCCTTTGATTGGGAGAGGGGGAAGGATTGGGCCTCTGGTAACCTCATTAACACTTGGAAACACAACATAAGCGCACCCGGTTTTCTGAAAGAGCGAGGTATCTCTTCGGCCCTTTCGTGCCGAAGCATGGCGCTTCCTCGCTTGTCTAAATACATTTTTATATGTGTAATCAGCCGCTGCTCTATAGAAATTATTTTTTTGCAGGCACTTTCGGTGCAAGAGTTCCCGTACTATCGCGTTGAGAACAATGAGAGCATAAGTATCATCTGCCTCCTTCTGATGACGGTTTGCTGGATCTCCATGATGCTGCCCTTCGTATTCCTCATGGGTCGACTCCTGCACGAACGCGCCACCGGCATACAGGTAACCATTTTACACATTTATGTATAATACTTTTTTTTGGCGTAATGGCAAGACTAGAATGGGGTCTATTCCCTCACGAAACACCTCCGTTTTTGATCGGCAAATTGTTATTCACGCTCACGGGACAGGGGATAAACCTGAACTGCTGACGCCACTTTTATTTAAAACTAGCGACCCGCCCCGCCTGCCAGTGCAATGCTGATACTAAATTTCTCCACTATTTTATAAATGTTATGTTATGTTGTTTTTATAAATGTTATACTTTTAAGCACTCATGTACATGATGATGTACAGAATCGACCTCTCTACAGATTTATTATAAGTATAGATAGAAATAAAATTATAATATAAATCATAATATGTAACTAGCCTGAAATCGTACTCAATATAAAGCAATGCACTAGGCGATTAGAACGCCGGTAATTTGACACAGACGGCTAGACATAACAAGATGTTTTTTTCTTGTTACAGGAACTGATAAAAATGGTGGGAGTTTCCCAAAACCTTCTAGGGATTTCGCATTTCCTAAACGTCTTGCTGAGCGGGCTTGTTTTCTCGATCGGTGGTGCCATACTCCTCAAGTCGACCTCCAACCCTCTGATCAACAACTCTAACGGGTTCCTCATATTCCTGATGCTCCTTCTCTATTTCAACACAGTCATGTCCATGGCTTTCGCCTGCAGCTATATTTCGAAAGGAAGTAAGTTATTTTTGCCTATTTCTCATCTATATATATAAAATGCGTTTGTCATAACCTCTTTAAGAATACGGAATGTTTTACCTCTACCCTTACTCATATTATAAAGAGGAAATTTTGATTGTTTGTGAGAATTTGTTAAGACTGTGATAAAACTCTTTCACTGCTGGGAAGCTTCACGATTCTACGATGAACATAGGCTATAAATGATACAAGTGAAACCGCGGCCCATCACTAGTATATTATACTAGCTACTGCCGCACGTTTTCACCAGTTGCTCGGCTCTTATTGGACTTAGGGTGATGTTTTATAGCCTATAGCAGTTAGGAACATTGTAGCTATCAGTGAAAAAATTTTGGAAATCCGACCAGCAGTTCCTAAGATAACCGCCTACATACAAACTTAAAAATTTTACCTCCTTATAATATTAGTATAGGTTTTTGTTATCACCGCAAGACACTTCATTGACTATAATGATACGTCTTTAGTGTACGTATGTTTATGTATGTGTGCACAGCTCAGTACGTGGCGACCCTGTCAGTGCTAGCGTACGTCGTGTTGTGGATCCCGGCGCGCGTCAAGTCCGACTACGACCTCCCTTACATGCTGACGCTGGCCTCCGGACTCCTCCCACACGTGCCCATGCATTGGTTCTGGAAGGAAGTCGCCGTCCTCGAGATGTATGGTCAGTATTGTTTTAATATAGGCAGTTTTTTGTATAAGTACTGTTGTGAGACATCTTAGAAAACGAAAACTTTATTATTATTAACTGAGCAAGCAAAAGTGGTTGGTGCGGTGGCCTGGCAACCGGCTGTGGCGCAACATGGCACGGAATTGGTTATTTTCAATAAATTACCCAAGTTACTTTACATTTTTGTACATCTGATTGCCAACAGTGTCGTTATCAGTCATCATCATCAGCCTATAAGTGCCCACTGATGAGCAAAGGCCTCTTCTCATACGGAGTAGGTTAGAGCATTAATCACCACGCTTGCTCAATGCGGGTTGGCGATTTCAAACTTATAAATAGAAATTGTAAGTCCAGGTTTCCTCACAATGTTAACCTTCATCATATGTCAGTGGTGTCTAAATAGTCATAGAAAGTACATATAACTCGGAAAAAGTCACATTGGTACCTGCCAGGTTTCGAAACCACACCCTCATGCATGAGAAGCGGGCTGCTTAACCTCCGGGCCACCACGACATTTTGATGACACGACATCAATATTATTCGTATAAATCTCCAAAAATGGAAACAAATTACTCGATGACCCTAAATCTTACCGGCCAATTGTGTTACTACCATCATTAGGTAAACTCCTTGAGCGGTTTATCATTCCAAGTTTACTACCAGGATGATGATTACAACAATCAATTTGGTTTTACTGTAGGTAAATCGACTGTTGACGCGGCCCTCTCTGTCCGAACCATAGTAAATTCATCTGAGCACAAATATGCAGTGGGCATCTTTCTAGATATTTCTGGTACCTTTGACAACGCGTGGTGGCCGATGTTACCTCTTAAAATTAAAGGCTGTGGCTGCTTTAGTAACCTATATAAACTAGTATAAGTACACACGTACTTTATCCACGGTTCAATAAAGTTAAAACTCGGAAATTATTCTGAGTCGAAGTCATTATCAATGGGATGTCCCCAAGGATCGGTTATAGGCCCGTTACTGTGGAATTTAGGTTTTGGTGATCTGCTTGCGATTCCCCTACCTTGTTGCTGTTCTTTGACTGGATGTGCGGATGATGGTCTTTTGACCCGTGATTTATTTATTTATTTATTTAAACTTCATGCACAATGGGTACATAGGCGGACTTAATGCCTAAGGCATTTTCTACCAGTCAAACCTTGGGTGATGCAGAGATGAGCCAAGGGTCGGTGCAAAAAGCAAGCAAACGGCTTAATTTTAAGTCTGTTATGACATACGAGATAGATATGTATATATGTGCGTATTATTAACGTACAACTTACTATTACTAATATTATACCTACATTCATACTCAAATTATATTATATAATAATAAATAACATCTACATTTATATACTATATACATACATAAGTATACTACATACATACATATACTATATACATACATATACTAATACTTATTAATAATAATGTATGGTGGTCACGATTTAGCTAAACCTTTCAATAAAAGCTTCGTGAGCTTTTGTTTAAAAGTCAAGCGACTAGACACATGATGTCCCAGAGCGCAGATATACGTGAGACACAATGTGTTTTCTATTGTGGCTCATATATCGCCAGACTACAGGTTAATCGTGCATTCAAATACTCGCGCTAGACTCGAAAATCTTGCTAAAGACTGCCTCAATAAGATCTCACAATAGGCCAACGAAATCGCCAAACTTTTGCACCCCATAAAACTTATCAGCTTTTATTCAAGGATAATCTTAAATCATGGCCGTCTCTCAAGTTCCAGTAACAATAAAACGAAAGGGGTCGCTTCGATATCTCGATCAAGTTCTAGAAAAAAGATTTGCCTTCATTGAACACATTAAGGTTATCAGTGAGAAAGCCAAAAATAACTTTTACGAGCAGTCCGCCCATCATATATTCTGGGAGTGTAGTCTCGGGCAATATGAATGTAACATTATGTTAGATAATTTAAATGTCTCATCAGGTGTATTTTATTATACGGACCTTGTGAAATCTAGAACAAATTTCCGTGCGTTTAGGCGTTTTTGCTATACCTGTTACTGGAAACAACTATAGCAGCTCACACAAAAGTCCCGTTACAATAACAATACGTAATTTTCTGTGGTGCTTGGTGACTGGGCTTTTCCCAGTTGTCCAGTCTCTTCTGAGCTTTTAAGGCCTAATCATTCTGTCTCCTACATTAAATTTACCGAGGGTAGTGGAAACTATTTAGTTTTTTCTTCTCCTCAAATAATATCTTCTGATTTATTTCGTCGCGGGATCCAAGACAGTCATTCATGTCCCTGGGACGCGCCGGACTTCAGTGATCCGGTGTTTTCATGGTTGTATCTACGGCAGATCCTGGATTACAGGAGTTGCAGTCATTTAGGAAGGTTGCGGCTAGCATGTCCCAATTAAAAAAAAAACAGTGTGTAGATTACTAGTCTTTACATTACCCTCGGACTGAGATCGGGTATCTTTTATATAGGGTGTATTTGGTGCGCAATTACAACAACTTTATCTATGGGACCAATAGCCAAATCTCAAAAATTGTATTTTTCCATACAAATCGCAACAGCTGATTTTGTTCAGAAGTAAAAATATTTAGATTTCCGTATTGGTATTATGGATGATGGAAAAAATTCCACCCATCTTTGTCAATTCGGCAACTTATAGTTATAAACACTAGAAATTGATCTGTACCGATAAATCACTCGGACTTTAATATTTAGCTACAATATTATACATAGCTTATCCGTCAATTACAGGCAGTGGAGTATACTTCAGCAATATGCTGTCAGCGAAGGCAAACTACAATGGCTCAGTGTTTCTGAGCTTCGTGTTCATGTTGCTCCAAGCCGCCATCTTTTACTGCCTGACCTGGTACCTCTCCCTCGTGAGACCAGGCCAGTACGGACAGGCACTGCCCTGGAACTTCTTCTGCAAGGTACGTCCATCATATGGAAGAGAAGTGAAGAGAGAGATTGGAATGTGTTTTTATCTATATTTAAATATAAAAATCAATGCCACTTTTCGTTGCAATTTTATTAACCGATTTGGCTTATTTTGGTTTTTAATTATTCGTGGAAGTCTAGAGAAGGTTTTTACGCAGAGAAAATCGACATCCACGCAGGCGACCGCTGGTTTCTCTCTCCTTTCGTGAGCGTCTCACGAACTGCGCGCGGATGGCATATTTATATGAAAAATGCGCCTGAGCAGATCATAAGATCTGTGACGCGTTACATCATTAAATAACAACGCTATTAAAAAAATTAAAATGCCCTGTTGTACATTTTGTAGGACAAATCCAAGCTAACATAACGTTCTAATATTAGAAAATAGTTTTGCATAACTAACTCTACTGTACATAATCATACCAACCAAACTAATTCAAACCTTTAAGCTTTCAAATAGGCTATATTTTCCTTCATTTCCCTCCTATTTCAGCGATATGACAAGAATAAAAAGCAAAAGGATTTAAAGAATGTAGATTCGTATGATGCGTTTGCGTACCCGGTATCTTATATACCCAGTTTCGAAGTGAGAAGACTGATAATGGCCGTCGAAATGAAGAGCCACTTCACACAGTATGAAGTGAAGGATGTTAGTACTTCTAGCCATGTTTTTCTTACATTCCCCAACCTATTCTATAGACAAGTTCACACAAACCCATCAAAATTAATATTAAGTATATATTTACCAATCATGGGACTACAGGGTCCCGATCATTTCGGAGGCGTACGAAAGGGCGTAGCCAACTTCACAGAGGTTCTTTAGACAACTTTAATCAAAATTAAATGGGAAACAAAGATCTCACCCTTTATGCAGTATGGAAATGCACCCATGGATAGTTCCCGGTTAGTCTAGGACTATTGCGGATGATGAAAACAAGAGATAAGGCTTTAGGTGTGGGTTGCTCTGGACTAGTATGATGGGAGCTCCGAAAGGACTATGACCTGCCGAAACAATGTCATTTATACAACTCGAATAAGGGACTACACAATATTTCACAATCTACTCCTTTTCCTTCAAACTGTTCGCCCAGCGGAGAGATAATTGGAAGCCTCTTTTTCCATAGAGCAGATCTGTAGTCCCGTTGACTCACTCGGCGTATTAAAGTAATATAGAAATCTAATATCAATTGCATCTCTCTCTTTACTTCCAATGTAAAATGTATTCATTATAAAGTACTTATGACTGTTTATTTCTCTTTAAGACTCAATATTGGAGTAAGAACGAGGTCATCCCGGACACGGAGTCTGAAGAAGAGAACCCTATGGCACAGGACCCAAGGTTCTTCGAGCCACCACCTGCAAGCGCAGAAGTTGGAATCAAAATAGTCAACGTTTCTAAGGTAAATAACTTTTATAACACATTCTTAGTTCATAAGTAAAATTACCGCGCTGTGAATATAGGCCCCGGTGTGACTCGAAACTAGTAGAGCTTTCCCCGAATGATTCACTTGAGTAAATCGGATACTTTAATTAATAAGGAAAGAAAGAAAAGAATAAAGATTTATTTGTGAAACATAGCGTATACAATATACATGAAATAAGTCGGTCATGTAAGGCCAGATTTGTTTTTCACAATACGGTAGTTTCCAACTAGTTAAATTCAATACTTTTATTCAAATGTCATAAACTATACTTTTCTATGAAATTTGTATGAAAAACTGAGTTATGATGTCAAATGGCTTACTTATTTCTTAATAATTAGTTATAAAATATCTAAAACTTAGAGTATCGATCGATCGATGTATAAAAGTTTAGTTATTTTTCAATATTTTGTTGTATTGATACGTCGAATTAATTTATTGTTGACCTAGAAAACTACTCTATTGTTATTGGAAATAAAGACAGCTCAGCTCATGTTTGAAGATTAATTGAATGAAACGGTTTTTTACATTTGACTTTGACCATGAATGATGTCGTCGACAGGTCTACCCAAAACAGCGAGTGTTGCGCAACATCAACCTGGAGGTGTACAAGGGAGAGATCACAGTGCTGTTGGGGCATAATGGCGCCGGCAAGACCACGCTCATGTCTATCATAACCGGTAACTTGTACAAACATTAATTACTTCATCATCCCTCATCCAGGAACGCTGTGGTAGGGGGGGGGGGGTTAAAAAGGAAGATGGATATTAACAATTCAAAAAAAGATTTCCTCGTACAAATATCCTGGGGGGCATTGCAAGGGTACATGCATACCTGAGTCCTATTGTAGACTTCGTGCTTCATTTTCTATCAAAAGTCCCTATCCAGATCCAGATATAGTTTATTTAAAATGAATATATTTCCCTTTGTGTTCTCCTCCTCCTCTGATACTTGACCTCCTTTGCTAGAAAAGGCAAAAACAAATAGAAAATGAAAAACACAACTTTAAGTATAGTAGAGCCAAGCTTCGGCACGAATGCGTCTGTTATACAGCATTGATACAAAGAAAACCGCCGTGCAACAACACTTACGTTTTATTTCGTCATGTGAATAAGGTTACCGAAGACCCAATCCTTCCCCCCCCCCCACCTCAATCGGTAACTCTAATCCCCAAAAAGCCGAAAACACACTCATAACTCTTCTGGTGTTCATGGGTGGCTCTAATTGCTTACCATCAGGTAACCCATCTGCTCATTTGCCGACGACTCTATTAACAAAGTATAACCGCCAGGTATGACGAGCGCTACGGAGGGCAACGTGTACGTGAACGGCAAGGACACGGTGCGGCAACGTGACGAAGTCCGACAGAACCTCGGCCTCTGCCCACAACACAACCTCTTCTTCCCCGACCTCAGTCTACGCGAGCACATCATGTTCTTCACGTTGGTGAGTTCACTCATATTTAAAACGATTTTAAGCGTAGGAGAACCATCTACCAGCCTTATATCCGCAACCCCTATCCTCAAAAGGCTGGCAACGCACTCGTAACTTCTTTGGTGTTGGTGTTTGGTGCGGCGCCGATTGCTTACCATCAGGTAGTCCGTCTGCTCGTTTGCCGACTTCTACCATAAAAAAACCATGCTTCTGCGCCAATGGGTTGGCTTGACTGATACCACGGCTTCACAAAAAACCGGCGTGAAACAAACACAGCCTCGTGTTTCCTCGGATGAGTGAGGTTACTGGAAATCCCTCCGCTCCCCCAATTCATCCCCAATAATCTTCAATACCCTTATCCCCAAATGGTCGATTGTTACGAGTGGACCATCCATTGTTACGAGTATCCATGGGCAGTACTGATTTTCTGGCATCAGTTAGTAATCCGGTTGCTAGTTTGCCGTCCCATCACATTCATAAAATATATTCAGATTTTATCCCTCGAATAGGATTTGACTGCACGGTTGGCGCGGTGGCTGGGCAACTGGCTGCCGTGCAACGGTTCGATTTCCGCACGGAACACCTCTTTGTGTGATCCACAAATTGTTGTTCCGGGTCTGAATAGTTTTTTGTAACCGCACCCACACGACACAGGAAAAAGTCCTAATATGGGGCAACGTTTTATTTAAAAACAAAAAAAAACAGAATAATATTGTCTGGTTAGTTGAAGCGCGGTACATACGCGGAAGCGCGGTCGTCGTCCCGTGCGCTGGCGGCGCGGCTGGGGCTGGAGGACAAGCTGGGCGCGTCCTGCCAGCTCCTGTCCGGCGGCATGAAGCGCCGCGCCCAGCTCGCCTGCGCGCTGGCCGGCGGCGCCGACGTCCTCATACTCGACGAGCCCACCTCCGGCCTCGACGTCGAGACCCGCCGCGAGCTCTGGGACCTACTACTGGTAAGCATTTTTGTGTATCTTACTTCTTGCTAATATTATAAATGCGAAAGTTACGATGTTTAGATGTGTGTACAACTTGTCTCTGCATTGTTCTCACATACGGGTACAATTATTGTACGTATACTATGTAAATGTTATACATCTTAGTGAACTGACAAACAGACTGACAGACTACTATTCTATTTTGACGTTTCAAAAGTACCTATTTATGGTTGGAATAAACGATTTTGACTTTGACTTTACTCTATCACGTTACTCTATCACGTCAAAACGGCTGGACGGATCCAGATGAAATTTGGCATAGGCATATGCTACACTCCGGAATATAGGCTACTTTTTATCAACATACCACGCGGGCGGAAGCTAATCTTTTGATCCCCATATCTGATTAGCAAGTTATCAAAGTCGATTTTTCATTCAGTAAATTCTACTTAACATCAACATTCGGTGTCAATAAGGAATCAAGAAAATCAAAGTAGTATATTTTTTAATACGTAATATTTTTATATTTTTGTTTTATCCTCTTTTCTTATATTTTTTTTTTGCCAAAAACGCATCAAGATAATCCAAAAAATAAAAGAACTCACGTTCTTTTGTGGCCCTATGCAATACAAAAAAAATCTAAGATAATATAAATAACACGTGTGTGTGTTGTCCAGTCCCTCCGCGGAGAGCGCACGGTGTTGCTGACGACGCACTTCATGGAGGAGGCGGACGCGCTGGGGGACCGCGTCGCCGCCCTCCATGCGGGGGTACTGCGCTGCCACGCCACCCCCATGCATCTCAAGCGGGCCGTCGGTACGTACCACTCTATTACTTCTACGAACGCTCTAATCTGAAACTGCAGTCCAAACCAATATTATAAATGCGAAAGTAACTCTGTCTGTCTGTCTTTTCTTCACGCCTAAACTACTGAACCGTATTCTGTAAAATTTGGTACAGACATAGTTTGGAACTCGAGGGAGGACATAGGATAGTTTTTATACCAAAAATTTGCCGGAAGTCACTATTCCACGCGAACGGAGTCGCAGGCAAAAGCTAGTATAAAATAGAATAAGAAATATCACTCCAAACTTGTCTTACAACGATATGTATAAGTTCTATTGGCAACTAAAGCCACTCCATTATAATCATACTATTTTCCATTTATTGAAATAACGATTTACTCTACTTGCAAGTCTATGAGACACAGCGCTACAGACTCGGCAATATGCGCTTCATAGTTACGTCGCAGTCGCAGTCACTAAAACTTTACTCAGTTAATTCAAGTCATTACGTCATTATCAATACTAATGTTATAAAGAGGTAAAATTTGTAAGTTATCTTTGGAATCTATATAGGAGTAATCTTTGGAACCGCTGGTCGGATTTCCAAAATTCTTTCACTGATAGATAGCTACAATATCTTCGTTATTATAATTTTTATGTCTTCGTTAGTTACTATTGAAACATAGACACTACATGTTTGTCAGCCTCAATGATAAGCCAAACTAGGCCTCACACTGCTCTGCCGCGCCATCTAGTGCGCTAAGATCGCAACTTATACTATCTTAATTTATACTGCCTGTTCCAGGTACCGGCTACCGCCTATCGTTCACGACGATTGGAACGCCCAAAGAGGACGCGATCACGAACGTTGTGACGTCACACGTGCCCGATGCGACTCTCAAAGAAAAGACGATTAACTCCCTCTCCTACAACCTGCCGGCTGCTAGTGCTAAGAAGTTCCCGACGTTGTTCGCGGCTTTAGAAGCGAAACGATCAGAACTGGGCATCGATTCCATCGGCGTAGGCGTCTCTACTCTTGAAGAGGTGTTTTTGAAGTAAGGATCTGTGTTATATTTTTTATGTGATTGTTTGACTAATGAGGATTGCCTGATGGTAAGCAATCGGCGCTGCCCGTAGTACCAAATGAGTTACGAGTGTTTTGCTAGCTTTTTGGGGCATAGGGTTTCGGATATTTTTTTTTTTACTTGCAATAAGCTAGTCCTTGACTGCGATCCCACCTGGTGGTAAGCAGTGATGCAATCGTTGATGGTAAGGCGCACTAGTTTATTAAGAGCCTATTCACTCTAGCCTTGAAGACACCTAAATTATATTTGGACGGAAAGACTGCAGCCGGCAAACTGTTCCAATCCCTCGATGTACGCGGTATAAATGACGAGGCAAAACGCTTAGTCAGGGCCGCAGGTGTCTCAACAACGTAAGGGTGGATATTTGCCGTACGCCGGGATGTCCGAAGGATATTTAAGCATTGGGGAGGGATGGGAGATGGGTTGGTTTTCGGTTACCCTCACTCAAATCTGACGACCACTGAGCAAGACTTGGTTTGATTTCTTTCCAGATCGCGCAGAATTAAACCTATTGTTGAATTTTTTTGTTGTAGAATATTTACAACATAATTTTCATTACTAAACTTTACAGTTTCGCGTTACATGTTAAAATTATTAACTTAATATAATATAAATAACGCGGGTATTAAAGCGAAAACAACTAGGTCGAAACGTCAAGCCTCCCAAGGTATTTAAATAGGTACTTTTCGTATTAACATAAAAAAATATATAAAAAAGGTCATGTGAATTAAATGAAAAAAATCTAGATTCTAGTCACAGCGAGACACTTTTACATGAGCAGCGTGTGCATCACGGCCACGTTGCAAAGGCAACTTTGACACTATTGTAATAAGAACTTGTTTGCATTAAAGGTTGTGCAGTGATGTGGACAACACGATGTCTGAAGATGAAGTGGATGGCAATAGTGGGCCTGGTAAGTATCCTTATATTTATTTGCAATTTTTGTAGTGAAGAAAAAGTTTAGATGTTTCTCCTTTTTACCTAAGTTAGGAAATATTGCATTTTGTTCCTCAAAATATACGATACTCGCCAACTAGTCAAATTCAATACTTTTATCAAAATATCAAAAACGACACTTTTCTATGAAATTGTATATGTATGAAACTTCAAATCATGACGTCATAAGTATTTTTGCGTCAAATATTTTACTTATTCCTAAAAAATTAGCCGAAAAGTATCTAAAATTTTGTATATCGACAGATCGATGAATGAAAGTTTAGTTATTTTTCAATATTTTATTGTATTCAAACGTTGAATTAATTTATTGGTAACCTAGGAAACTACCCAATTGACAATTGAAATGTAATAAATACATTTATTTTGAAAGATTGGCCCTTACTTTGATTTTTTTATAAAATTTAAAGTAATTTCGTATAAAGAAATCTCGATAATCGAACTCACAATTTGGTATTTGACAGTCAGTCGCCAAATTTGTAAGTGTGTATGTATAGGGAGAGTAGTCTTTGGAACCGCTGGTCGGATTTTCATAATTCTTTTACTGATAGATAGCTTCAATGTTCCTGAGTGCTATAGGCAGGAGAACATTTTAGAACGGGGCAAAGTTTTAATAGAGGGATAGAGAAAGTTCGTAGGAACCTCTGAAATCTTATTTAATAGTGTAATTGTCCTGGTCATCAGATATCTCTCAGGAGCGGCTGACTGGCGTGCCCCTGTACTTGCGGCAGATCAAGGTCTTGTTGATACGACAAGTCAAGTATGCTATATACAAGAAGTGGTCTTTTCTTGCCCTGGTGAGTACCATAAAAAGATTGAATGTTCCTACAGTCAAAAATTGCTCCTTGTACGCAGAAATGCAGTGTTTTACTTGCCATTCATATCTTGCCATTACTATCACTACATAGTACAAAACAAAGTCGCTTTCTCTGTCCCTATTTCCCTAAGTATGCTTAAATCTTTGAAACTACACAACAGACTTTGATGCGGTTATAAATGTATATAATGCGGCATACCTACTAAATTTATCGAAAATTATGAATTACACATGACTCTTCGGATTTTTAAGAACCCCATTATGACTTGAATGTAACTTTTCTCCTCTCTTTTCCTCAGCAACTAGTGTTTCCGATAATAACGATAATAGCGATGACGCATTTTACGAATAACGCGGAGTTGCAACGGAACCCGGACGGTGCGCTCCGAATGAGCCTGGACCTGTACGGAGACAGGCCCGACCACCGCGTGCTACTGAGCCTGCGGTCTAATGACTTCGACACTAAGGCCTTCACCGAACATTTCCCACGACTCAAATTCGAAGATACCAATGACGTTGCCGATGGTAAGTAGTAGTAGACCTGGACTAAAGAAAATCCTTGTTTTGTTATAAGGCCGTAGTAGTATATATGTCACCGGAACATAACAAGATCCGTAAGTTTATCACTTTACTAGGAAGTTTATAAACTTTCGTAAGATTCTAAACGGGAGATACATTGTTATATTTTACGTCCACATTTTCGTAAATTGATAAACTTACTGAACTCACTCGTAAAATAATAAGTAAGGAGTAACCAAACGCTACGCGCGATCTGATTGGTTGGCTGTCACGTGTCACTTCTATGGACACAAGCATTGCCACTATGAACATTGACCAATCAGAGAGCAGTGTGTTATTTTACGTATTACAAAGATCGTATATTTAAAAGAGTTTCTGTGATTGGTCGAACCATATAAAATCTAACGAATTCGTATGTTTATAAATTTACCGTATGACGTCGGAAATTGATAAATTTACGAAAATGTGGACGTAAAATATTACAATTTATCTCCCGTTTAGAATCTTACGAAAGTTTATAAACTTCCTAGTAAATTAATAAACTTACGGATCTTGTTATTTTCCGGTGACATATATAATAAAAAATAATATATATAAATGACAAATACTGTTCTGACATTTGTAACTGTATTTTTTTACAGCGGTGCTTCGAACCGGTGAGAAAGACGTCTTAGAATACAACAAGTACATCGTCGGAGTCGAAATGAATGACACAGATGCCAAGGTACGAGATATGATGTAGCAAAGTATTGTTAGTGAAACTGATTGAAAAAGAGTAACCATGGAGTTTCTTGTTCACTCTGCTAAATAGTTACTTAAAGTCCAAATATAACTTAAAGTCTGACCAATTAACTCATTTTTCACGTTTATAGATATTCTAATGTCATTCCGAAATTCTAGAAATATAAAATATTTTTGCGCAAAATACCATTTATTGCTCATGTATATACTGGGAGTGCGCTAAAAGATGCGCAGTTTATTTTTTGTTTCAAGGTTCCTTATACTTCTATGATAAAATAGATTTCGTAAACAACTAAAATTAGGCTTATTCTTTTTTCGTTTCCTATTCGGTTTCCTTGTGAGATCCACAAATTGTTGGTCCAGGCGGTAGTGAAATGATCCTAAATGTTTTTAAACATACCTATGACATGGAACGAAATCCTAATACTGATCAGTATTTCTACCATGAAGTGTTAAAGCGTGAATCTTCCGGGCGAGATAGAGGGATGGAGCTATACACCGTTTATAGCTCCATCTATCATCCATTGGGCCTCAGGGTGTATATAACAATAAGGGTATGTGTTAGATCCTGTACACGACGACGGTCCGCCACGCGGCGCCGGTGGCGCTGAACGTGCTGAGCAACGTGTTGGCGGCGCGCGGGCTGCCGTGGGCCGACGGCCGCACCATCACCACCGTCAACCGGCCCGTGCCGCCCGACGCCGCCGCACCCACGCAGGAAGGAATGCCCAAGAACCTCATCACGCTCGTCACATGGGGCATGTGTGTCACCTTCAGTCAGTATACTCCTATACTTGTTACTTTATTTATTTATCTACACCTCTCAACCTGGCAAATGAGTAGGCGCATTACCTGATGGCAATATCGGATATGAGTACATATCCCATATGTGCCGCTTATTGATACACGCAACACTAAGAGGTTACAAGTGTATTATCGGTATTTCGGGGATTGGGGGAGATGAAGAATAGAAATCCAAACCGGATTTTGGGCTTTCGACATTCATCTCACCATGTAATTCATAGTTGTACTAACTAATCTAAGAGGATTCCGGTAGAATTATTAGTAAGGTTATAAATTACTGGCGGCTCGTCTTTCTCAGCTGGTCGGAATGCCGTAGTTTGGAACGGACCGCCGCAACGGACCTTTCTGAAATATGGAATGGCGGTCTGCAATTTTTGCGCAAAATTTTGTTTTTCCTATGAATTTTTTGAGGATTGTTATATGATCGCTAGGGTCGTTAAGAGTGCATTTCTCCTAAGCTTTCTCTTTACATAGACTAACCTAGGTAGTTGGATAACAATATCTGCAGGCTGCCTATTCTATAATAATAATACATGCTAGCGGCCGTTTCGGAGGGCCCATTAATTGAGTTTGCCAGTCACCCCATGCCTGTTTATCCGTATGTATCAATATTGGTCAGGGGCAGGGGCCATAGTATTTCAATAGATATCATATGCCATTCCATAGCCACTCACACCAATTACCATATAATTTTTAACCATATTGCACAATAGTCCTGCATCAACCGGGGATTGTCCTTGGGTGCACTTTTATAGTGCATACAGGGACAGTTGCCGGCTGATGTCCCATTACATACTAAATTAAAATTAAAGTTGTTCAACGGGCCTCTGCGAGTTGGCTTCGGAACCTTGTACGCCTTTCAAAAGTCCGGGACGCTGTGGTCCCGTGAATGGAATCGGACATAATAATAAGAATAACCTAGCAAGATGTGGCGTTGCAGTAATCCTGGCGACGAACGTGAACAGCGTGTCGCTGTCGTGCAAGGAGCGCGAGTCGGGCGCGCGGCACCTGCACGTGATGTCGGGCTGCCCCGCCGAGCTGCACTGGGCCGCCACGCTGGCCGCGCACGCCGCGCTGGCCGCGCTGTCGCTCGTGCTGCCCGTCTGCCTCGCCGCGCTCCTCCTCGACCAGGACCGCACCATCGACCAGCCCGACCTACTCGGTCAGTACACTCATACACTACCTTCGCCTTGCCAGCCCACTGCCGAACAATGATCAGCGTACGGCGCGTAGCGTTCCGCGCCTTACCCAAATAGCCATTAGACACCACATGTATAGACCCAGGCGTCGTTAATTTGTTTGAGTTGACAAATACCACAGATTTCCCGTTTAATAGTTTATTGTGTAACTTACACTAGTTACGTGAGGTGCTAATCATGAGTATAAATTTCATTTCAGTATTGTTATAATCAACTAAACACAAAAAATACAATATTAATTAAATCGACACGCTAAACTAGGTCGCGCGACGTTAGCAAAATAAATGCCTATACGGAAACCGTACACCGCAGACCGGACCCTATAGGGCTGATGTTTAGCCGGAGTTGTGGGGTAAGCGCAAAGAGAGCAGAAGGAACGAAGGGTTTTTAGTCAGTAAGAGTCTGACACGCCCTCTCGCCTTACCCAGGGTGGAAGAAGTCATTTGATGATTTTCTTATGACAAAAAAATACGTGTCTGCGCACTGCCCCCTTTTCAACGGCCTTACTGAATCGAAATCTAAATCGATCGGGAAGCCTTAATTGTTATCATCCGGGGTTGTAAGTAGAGCGCAATAATGTACTGGATCGGGGTGACTTGTAATCAGTAAGAGTCTAGCTTCATCCTGGGCGGGCAAAGTAATTCTTAATGAACTTCCCCCTTCGAAAAGACTTAATTGTTATTATTTGTGTGTATACAGGTACTCTGGCCTTGATCCTGATGCTCGGCAGCCTCGCATTCTTCGCGTTCATGTACCTCGTCAGCTTCAACTTCGGCGAGAAGTCCAGCAGTCTTATACTGGTCATCTGCATCATTATATTCGGTCAGTAAAAGCTAAATCCCTGGGTATTTGAATTCCAACTCCCGCCAATACCAGGATCGAGCATCGAGTGTGGGATTGGAAACCCCACCTCATCATAACTAACTACACTAACTTATTAAACTGTTTGGTGTAGAAAATGAATTAAAAATATGGTTTAGTAGGTTAGAGAGTAATAAAAATATGAGAGTTAATTAGTATACGGCAGTTTATAACTGTCAAATTCAATACTTTTTATCTAAATGAAAGATGATAATTATTTCTTTATGATTTTTGTATAAAACTCCAAATAAATTCTGATGTCATAGTATTCCTGCGTTAAATAGCTTACTTATGTCCTAAAAATATTTTAAATCGACAGATCGATGAATAAAACTATATTATTTTTTTAATATTTTACTGTATTTAAACGTCGAATTAATTTATTTTTAACCTAAGAAATTACCCAATTAAAAATAACAAAGAAGTTTGTGTAATACGTCTAATTATTGTTTTAAAAAGTATACTTTTATCTTAAAAAAATATTTAGAAAAACACTAACACCCGGTTTCCGAAAGGCCGATCAATGTTAAAATCAATTTAATCTCTTGTCATGTCATCTGATTGGTTGACTGAATTATCAACAACCGATCAGATGACTTGACAAGAGATTTAACAGGAGATTAGTTAATTTTAGCGTTGACAAGCCTTTCAGAAACCGGGTGCAAGAATTTTATGTAAATCGTTAAATCAATGAATGAAAGTTCTGATTGTTTATGTATATTTTTGCTTTAACTAAAAAGACAAATTCGTGATTTTTTTGTGGAAAATAATTATTAAAGACTTTCTCTTAAGCCCCAAAACGAAACAGTAACAGATTTTAGTTATAAGTTTTAAGGTAATTGTTATATCGGAATATGGTAAAATGTGCCTACTAAGTCAAACGCTTAATAACAAAAAAAAATTGTCTGTGTACCCCAGGCTTACTGACTCCCTTCATGGCGGTAGCGCAGAAGATGTTCTCGAACTCCCCGAGCGGGCTGATGCACATGGCGCTGGTGACGTGTGGGTACGTGATGCCCCCCCACACCTTAGTGACGGCGGTACTGCAGGCCCTCAACGTGGGACAGATCAACGCCATGTGCCACTGGATGCGCTCCAAGCAAGTCTGCCCCGGCGCTTACGCCAACGAAAACGGACTCGATGTTGAAAAGTGCTGCGGTAAATATATTACATAATTTTACTTGGGATCAGTGGTAGCACAGAGTTTAAGGCAACCGCTTCGAACACATTACAAAAACAGTATCCAGAATTGCAAACCATAAAAAAAATTGGAGTAAGTTAAGATTTGTAGCAACAGGAGTTCAAAAACGACAAAAATTACAGGGTGGACATTTAAAAAAAAGTAATATTCAAATATCTTAAAAAATAAATACGATATTTTTATATATTTTTCTGATGACCTTAATAAGCATCAGAATCACCCGGTTGTGGCTTGACGTCTACATCTTTCCATGATTATTTACACGCATACGATGAAGGAAAAAATCGTGAGCAAACCTGGACTCATAATTAAAAAATATAATTATTGGTCTATTAATATATTATTTAATTATTCTAATTGTAAGTCCAGGTATAAGCGACGGGTTGCAACGTCTTTTCTGAAAAAAAAAACAAAACAACCTTTTAGGCCAAGTTTTCTTGAGGCCACTCACTCTAGTTGAGCCGATCCTTTCGTGGGGAAGCGTCACTTTTCAATGTGTAACTAATCGATCCAAAATATAGTAAAAAGTATTGCAATGTAGGAGCAAATAAGAGACGTCTTGATTGGACGATCGTCTTTAATTAAGTGTTCCATTATTATAAAACTTACACTACTTATGGGGAGAGGTGTCACACACACTACAGTATATATAAATAGTAGCACCTATATCATTGAAAATTTGTTCGTCAGTAAGTCTGTGGTACTTCTTCCAGCCGGTGAGAACCCGCGTTGCTACTTCTGCATCGACGATTTCTCTCCAGGACAGAACATGATCGTACTCTTCCTACAGTTCACAGTCTTAATGGTAACTATTACTTTCATTTGTCATTTATTTTTTTCGTTTTTTTCTACCTGCAACCCTGGATACTTAAATATTTGATTTAAAACTGATCGTATTTACCGCTCAAATTTCAATTGAATGCGTTTCACTGTAGACAACACATAAGATCATGAAAAACCATAAATAAGTGTTACAATAGCTAATTAGCTACTGTGTCCGTACCGACCCAATCTTGACACAAATAAATAAAAAAACATTTTTGTAGAATAATCAGGATAGAATATATGTATGGACTAAGTAAGTATTTTATTATTATTAGGCGATGGTGTTTCTCACGGAGCGTGGTTTCTTCAATGGCTTAGTAAACAAACTAGCTAACCTCCGCTACCAGCCGACCTCGGACCCCCAAGCGGACGAAATGGTGCGCGCTGAGAAAGCGTACGTCAGCCGAGCCATCAAATTACGTACGTATTTTTATTGCAACTTTATTTTAATAGTATTAAAGTTGTTTTTAAATGTTTGTGGTCCGTTAAACAAGTCTTAATTTTACTATTTTAAATGTTAATGTACAGTTAATACGTTAATTATATCTGTGTTCTTTTTAGAATGCTATGTAAAATGGTATACCAATGTTTGTATGTAGTACGTCATTCCTCAGTAATTGAGTTCTCAACTCTATTTTAATGTCGTTAAAGTCACTTTTATTAATAAGAAATTTCAACAAATGTTGTAGAATAAAATGATCATTATTCTCATAATAACAAAGTATATAATCATTGAAATGTTTTTCAGCGTCGAAACAGATCCCGGATGCGATGTTAGTAGATGATATCCACAAGAACTACGTGTCGATTCTGAAGAAAAGTGTCAACGCTGTCAAGGGAGTCAGCTTCAGCGTCAAAAAAGGTGACATTTTCTACTATACTTTAACCGTTTTTATAGTTTCGGAGATTTTTATAGCATACGGTGACATACAAGCGTCATCTGTTAGGAAACTATGGCTACCTTAAAAACGAGCAGACATAGGAGGCAACAGCATCAATGGAGTTACGAGTGCGTGCCAGCCTTTTGGGGATTACGGTTTCGGAGATTTAGGGATTGGGGGAGGGTAGGTCGAATCGCCGTAGGCTTGGATTCGGGTATGGTCGGGTAGCTTCGTTGTGAAATAAACGTTTTCCTTGTATGTCTTTCAGGTGAATGCTTCGGTCTGCTGGGTGTGAATGGCGCGGGCAAGTCCAGCACGTTCAAGATGCTCACTGCAGAGGAAAGTGCTACAAGGGGGGAGATCTTCGGCAACGGCTACCGACTTACGCGGGGGAATCCACATGTTAGTAAAATTTTTTTTGCTCTACATTTTTTCTCATGATATTTTAATTTTTTCTTCAAAAGGGTACGCAGTTATGTATAATACACATATTGCTGCTAGCACTTCCCTCCATGTGGTTTGGTTCTGGCACTCAAAACTTTACTGAAATACTAACTGACACGGCACACATTGTTTTACCATAAAAAAAACCGTTTTCTTAAGATAACAACCCTTACTACTTTCCAACATTATATTTACGCGGGTATTAACGCGGAAAATTATAATTTGAATACCTTGGTAGGCTTGACGTTTTTAAAAGTTTTAAAAGTTAGCCTTACTACTTTCGTTGTGAAAGCAGACAGTAGCTGATTCGTAGACCTACTGACTATGTCATTAATTTATGTGTAAAAATCAGTAGTTTCGGAGAAGTAAGGTAAGCAACTAACATTGTGACATAAGTCCAGAAAAGGAAAACTATACATTTCGAAAGCAAAGACCAACAATTTAGCATACTTTTCCAAAACATCCAAAGTCTCTATAACAAACAACACACACTCGAAGCATTCTTAGAACAATCACCACAATATAAAGCCGTATGCATATCGGAGTCTTGGTTATCACAAGCCAAATTAGACATAATTCAAATCAGCGGTTATAACTTTGCGGCATCATACTGCCGAAAGGATCGAACAGGTGGCGGCGTCTGCATCCTCTTACAAGATCACATCGAGCATATAGATAGAAGTGATATCTCAGAAATGTCAATTGAATATGTCATAGAAGTATGTGCAACCGAATTACCAAGGGAAAATTTGTTAATTATTATTATTTATTGGAATAGAAGAGAGGAAGATATTTTTTATAAACAATTAAAACAAATATTAACACACATAAATAAGAAATATTTTAAGTGCAATATTATAATAGGAGGAGATTTTAACATAAATATATTTGATAATAACATAAAAACAAACGTTTTCTTAGATTTCATGTTAGAATATAAATTCGTACAATATATAAAAGAACCAACAAGGATAACACCAACTACGTCCTCGTGCCTTGACCTTATATTTACAAACTTTAACAAATGTAAACTAAATACAACTGTTGAAGAACTAGGATTCTCTGACCATTGCGGTACAATTATAAACATATCTCTACCCCAACAAACTAAAAACACTGTTTGGTATGCTAAAAAAAGGCTATATAATAACAAAAACATACAACAATTCAAATCTAATTTAAAGGATATAAATTTTAATAATATAATAAAACCAAATATAGAAGTAAACAAAAACTATGAAGCATTTAACAACACACTTACAAAAATACTTAACAAATGTATACCTGTACAAAAAATAAAACTGAAAACTAATTATAAAAAATACTGGCTTACCAAAGGAATAAAAATTTCATGCACAAATAAAAGATTATTAAAAATATTTACACTAAAAACTAAAAATCCAATTCTGAAACAAAACTACAAAAACTACGAAAGAATATTAAAGAAACTAGTCACGTCATCCAAAAAACTACACTACATAAATAAACTAAAAAAATGTGATAATAAAGTCAAAACGATGTGGAATATTATTAATGAGCGAACAAATAAAAAAATAAAAAAAGAAAAAACTAACATAACATTAGAAATAAATAAAATAACGACCTCCGACCCTAAGCAGGTAGCAAATACCTTTAACGAGTTCTTTGCGTCCATTGGAGAAAGTTGCTCTCGAACATCAGGGAACAAGCCACAGGGCGCTTCTGTTTTACACCCAACTGAAAACACTATGTTTCTCAGCCCAGTCGAACCCGGTGAAGTAAATACACTAATTAAAAATTTAAAAAACAAAAATAGCCACGGGATTGATGAATTACCGCCTAACTTATTAAAACATTGCGCAAAGGAATTAACTTTACCGTTTTACCTGCTAATTAACCGGTCTTTTGAGGAGGGTGTCTTCCCAGATTACTTAAAAACGGCCCTAATAAAACCGATCCACAAAAAAAGTACCAAAACCGATCCGAGTAATTATCGTCCAATAGCACTTCTACCCACTGCTTCAAAAATTTTTGAAAAGGCAATGTGTGACCGTGTTTATAAATTCTGCGAAAAGTACCAAATATTTGATGACTGTCAAAATGGGTTCCGAAAAAACCGATCAACAACCCTTGCAATCTATAAATACATACAAGAAGCCCTTAATATAATAAATAAAAAGAAATATGCTGTTGGTCTACTCCTAGACATGACCAAAGCCTATGACAAAGTACAATACACAATACTATTAAAAAAACTACAAGGCATAGGAATCCGTGGTAAAGCCCACGAGTGGTTTACCTCATACCTAAAGGACAGAGAACATCTAGTAGAAATAGAATTATTCAACCACAAAAGTAAAGAAATACAAAAGATCCGTTCAAACAGAAAAACTATTAACGCCTCAATACCTCAAGGGAGTGTGATAGGATGTCTTCTCTTTCTCATTTACATAAATGACCTTCCTAAAAATATACAAGGACCATGTGTCTTATTTGCAGACGATATTTCACTCCTTACTTCATGTGAAAATAATAACAATCTAACTGAAGCATTAACCGAAACGCTCAATAAAACAGTTACTTGGATGAATGACCACAACCTAGATATTAACTTATCAAAAACTAAAATAATGACCTTCCACCCTCATCAAAAAGCCCCATTAGATGTAAACTTATTATATAGTGGCCAAAAAATAGAAGTAGTCAAAGAATTCACCCTACTAGGTTTATCCATAGATACAAATATAAATTGGAAACCACATATTAAGAAAATCAGAGCAAAAATTTCAAAATTCGCATATGCATTTCGTGAAATAAAAAAAACCACCAACCTCCAAACGGCCCTCACAACCTACTACGCATACGCTTATGCTTGGCTTAGTTATGGTGTTATATTATGAGGACATAGCACTGATACACCTACACTCTTTACTCTCCAAAAAAAACTAATTAGAATCTTAGTAAATATTGACGACACTGACAGCTGTAAACCCCACTTTCAAGAACAAAAAATTTTAACTGTGCCAAGTATTTATATCTTGGAAATATGTAAATTTGTCCGCAAAAATAATAACTTCTTTACCACAAGGGAAAATAAACAACAAAAGTACACACTACGCCATAAAAATAGATTAAATTTACCAGATTCTAGATTAAAAATACATTCAACAAGCACATACGTAATGTCGATAAAAATTTATAATAAACTTCCAGAAGTAATAAAGAATGAAACAAAATTAAACCTATTTATAAGTAAACTAAAACAGTTCTTGCTAAAAACATGTTATTATAGTGTCAACGAATATTTAAATGAGAAATAATATAATGATTAGAATATTAGTTATTAAATAAACTTAATAAAGCTCTCTTCCTCTCTCCTACTTTTACTTTAACTTTTACTTCTAATTATACTTTGCTGTGCCCGACAGGGTCCATTATGATCTCATAATATATAATTTACCACCTAAGAAACACATTGTGGAATGCAATAAATGATTGAGTATTGAGTATTGAGTATTGTGACACGAGAATCTATACTAATATTATAAAGAGGTGAACATTGTGAGTTTGTATGTAGGGGGAATATTTAGAACCTTTTTTTATGTAATAGGTCGGCAAACGAGCAGACGGATTACCTGATGGTAAGCAATCAGCGCCACCTATGGACACCCGCAACGCAGGAGTTACGAGTGCGTTGCCGACCTTTTAGGAATTAGGGATTGAGGAGGGATCGGGCCTCCGGTAACCTCACTCACACGGCGAAACACAACGCTGTGGTTGTTTCACGCCGGTTTTCTGTGAGGCCGTGGTATCACTCCAGTCGAGCCGACACATTCGTGCCGAATCTTGGCTCTCCCACACTTGTCCGACCTCTGGTCGGATTTGTGCCGAAGCTTGGCTTTCCCACACCTGTCCGACCTCTGGTCGGATTTGTGCGGAAGCTTGGCTTTCCCACACTTTTCCGGCCTCTGGTCGGATTTGTGCCGAAGCTTGGCTTTCCCACACTTGTCCGACCTCTGGTCGGATTTGTGCCGAAGCTTGGCTTTCCCACACTTGTCCGACCTCTGGTCGGATTTGTGCCGAAGCTTGGCTCTCCCACACTTTTCCGACCTCTGGTCGGATTTGTGCCGAAGCTTGGCTCTCCCACACTTGTCCGACCTCTGGTCGGATTTGTGCCGAAGCTTGGCTTTCCCACACTTGTCCGACCTCTGGTCGGATTTGTGCCGAAGCTTGGCTCTCCCACACTTTTCCGACCTCTGGTCGGATTTGTGCCGAAGCTTGGCTCTCCCACACTTGTCCGACCTCTGGTCGGATTTGTGCCGAAGCTTGGCTTTCCCACACTTGTCCGACCTCTGGTCGGATTTGTGCCGAAGCTTGGCTCTCCCACACTTTTCCGACCTCTGGTCGGATTTGTGCCGAAGCTTGGCTCTCCCACACTTGTCCGACCTCTGGTCGGATTTGTGCCGAAGCTTGGCTCTCCCACACTTGTCCGACCTCCGGTCGGATTTCCAAAATTCTTTCACTGACTGTCCAAATGGTATATTACCTTTTTGTTTCGAAAGTTAAGTATAATGAGTAGCCATATATGTAGCTATATCTAATACAGTCCACTAAAATTATGTTGAAGTTAGTTGCGAATATAACGCTGACCTAACCACACGCTGTTTTCTCTAGAAATCACTGCACTAAAGTCAACCCTATCTATTAAACACTGACAAATAATACTACAGGCTATAAATTCCTTGTGCGAAGCTGCGGGCGAAAGCTAGTTTTACATAAGATCAATGATATTATAAGTAAAAAGGTGTAAATAAGTTACAAGCGCTCAGCAAGTGATACATTAAAATGCGGCTAACTAGCCATACTTTTTCATATTTGTCTCTTTTTCACTCGCGATTATTGAATCATGCCATCTCACTTTGACGTCTAAACATACGAATTGTTCATGTGTGCATCAGGGTGTCGTTTTTGAAAATTGAATTTTGTTTAGGAAACCTATACATATACACTATTTTACTTATAATATAATTGTATAAGTCTTGTAATGTTTGTCCACAGTACTTGCAGACGTTGGGCTACTGCCCCCAGTTCTTCGGGCTGGACATGTTCCAGACAGGCCGCGACAACTTGAGGCTAGTGCTCACGCTGCGCGGGTACGACGACAAACATGTCAAGGAAGAAGTCGACAACTGGATACATATTGTTGGTATGTCGGGTGTATTTGCTTTTTTATATTGTTTATTCTTTCTTAACAGAATATTCTAGTATGTTTGCCTAGTATTTTTTGATACTCTTTTTTTTGTATTTTAAATATAAAATAACCACAGCATTGTGTTTCGCCGTGTGAGTGAGGTTACCGGAGGCCCAATCTTTCTCCCTCTCCCATCCCTTCCCAATCCTGAAATTTCCGAAACCTTATCCCTAAAAGGCCGGCAACGCACTGGTAACTCTTTTGGTGTTACGGGGGTCCATGGGCGGCGCTGATTGCTTACCACCACCTATAGAAGCTCCTCTCTCCCCCTAGGTCTGGAGAAGTACGCGAACCGCGCGGTGGAAGAGTACAGCGGGGGCTGCGTCCGTCGACTGGGCGCGGCGTCGGCGCTGTGCGGGGGCGCGGCGCTGTGCCTGCTGGACGAGCCCAGCGCCGGCGTCGACGTGGCCGCGCGACGCAGGCTCTGGGCCGCGCTGCGGACCGCGCTGCGTCGGGGGCGCTCCGTCATCATCACCTCGCACAGGTAAACACATACTACACTAAAAGAACAAAGAAACGATTAATACTTACTTCTTTTCTAAGTCGCTGCTATGCAACATGTCCCGCTGGCTGGTGTGGCTGATTAATGTTATCTGAGGAATAAAATTGTTGTCACTGTTTTATGCAAACATTGTAACGTTTTTTTTTTTTGTGAGGGGAAAATCATCAAATGACTTCTCCCGCCCAGGGCCGGGCAGGAGGGAGTGTCAGACTCTTACTGACTAAAAACCCCCTTGTTCCTTCTCCTGCTCTGTGCCGAGGTCACGGTACCTCATTGCGCTTACCCCGCAACCCCGGCTGAACATCAGCCCTTTAGGGCCCCGTCTGTGGTGGTCGAATGGCTCTTTGAGGCGCGCGCGGAACACTACGCGCCGTACGCTCGGGTCCTGTTCTGGTCGGGCGGCGAGCTGCCCTTACTCGCCGTCCGCAGGCCCGTGCTTACGGTGGCCGGAGATCGTCCCTCGATCCCCGACGCCCGTAGTGTCCCCAGTTGCGGCTGCTAGTGCGTGAGGAGGAGGATTGCTCCCTCACGCGGGCCGCTTCTCTCTTTGCGAGCATGACTGCTTCACAAAAGGAGGAGACGGCGTCCCAGTTCCTCTCACTCCGCACCATGGCCTCGACTAAGGCTGGGCGCGAGAGGTCGCCGCCGCCGATCACTTCCCTGAGGATACGGCGGTGCTCAGCCCAGGCAGGGCATACCGCTACCGTGTGCTCCACCGTATCCTCTAGGTGGTCCTCACAATGACGACACTCGGGCGTTTCCTCCCGCTGGATCCGAAACAGGAACCTACCGAAGCTGCCGTGCCCGGTAAGCACCTGCGTCAGGCGGAAGGTGAGGACGCCGTGGCGTCTCTCAAGCCACTCCTCAAAGAGGGGTCTTACCGCTGCTATAGTAGCGTGCCCGGCCCTCGGTTGCGACAGTCGCTGCTTCCACTCAGCCATGAGATCTCGCCGGACCTCATTCCGCCACGCACTAATTTGGCGCGACAGAGGATCCTCGCCCCGGCGACGCGCGTCTGCGCGCAAACTGTAGACGCGCGCGAGCGCCTTCGCTTCCAGATCCCATGGTGGTGATCCGGCAAGGAGGCTCGCCGCCTCCCCGGAGATCGTGCGATATCCGCGGATTATTCGGATAGCCATGACCCTCTGGGACGTGACCAGCGTACGAGCCGGCCGCCGCTTCAAGTCCGGCGCCCACACAGGGGCACCGTAGAGGGCCATGGATCGCACAATCCCCATATACAACCTCCGGCAGGAGGCGTTTGGCCCCCCGAGGTTGGGAAGGAGCCGCTTGAGCGCGGCCCCAGACCGTTCCAACTTAGGAGCCAAACGACGAAAATGCTCCGTGAAGTTTCATCGGCTGTCGAGGACGAGACCCGGGTACTTCATCGCCGACTCGACGCCGATGGTAACTCCTCCTGCCGTTATTTGGGACCCATCTGGAGGTGGCGCGTTCCGACGGCCATAAAAAGACATGGCCTCGGACTTGTGAAGCGCCACCTCGAGTCCCAACTGCCGGATCCTTGCAACGACTGTCGCAACCGCTTGCGACATCAGGTCGGCCGCCCCTGTACTCCTCGTATAGCTCCGCCTCTCTGGTTTCAGCGTCCAGAGGGCGGAGACGGAGCCTGCGGTGCCTGGTGTATCGGCGTCGCGCTGCGGTGCACTCACCGCGCAGGTCTGCCAATTCCTGCGACCACCAATACACCTGGCGCTTGCGTTGGCACGCCCGGATCCGGGGCATCGCCACGTCGCACATCCTTGACATGGCGTCCTGGAGCCATCTCGCCTCCTCGTTAACGTCGGCGGGCCTGACCGGTGGTATCACCCAGGCCTGCACGACTGCGGCTTCCAGGAAAAGCTCCCGGTCCAGTTGCCTAAGCGCCCAACGCGGGCCACACGGGGCCTGTCTGACCGGCGGGTCTGCGGACTCGGCGGAAACGTCGAACCGTATATACCGGTGGTCCGAAAACGTCTCCACCTCGTCCATGACGCGCCAGTCGACAACGCGCGATGACAGAGCGGGGCTAGCAAACGAAATGTCCACCACTGACTCGCCCCGCATCCGTACGCACGTGGGCACAGAACCCCGGTTCAGCACGACTAGGCCTGTCTCCAGAGCCCAGTCTTCGACCATCCTTCCCCGGACATCAGTGAGCTGGGAACCCCAAGCCAAATTCTTGGCATCGAAGTCCCCGAGGACCAGCACGGGGAGGGAACGGAACCCAACGACGACGGTGACTAATTCCCTGAGGGAGTTGTGGAACTCGACGAGAGTTCGGTTCGGAGAGAAGTACACGCCCACCACGGCGATCTCTCCGAACCGAGCCGCGACGCAACCCCTGCCTCGCTGAGGCCCTTCGGGGGTTGCGGTACCGGCGGCGGCCGACGAGATGATGGTCAGCCGTCCAGGTCTGACACCCAGTGTTCCCTGGGTGGAACGAAGTACGGCCCGGAGACCACAGCAACATTGATCGACCACTGCGCCATGCTCTGGAGCAGGAGATCCTGAGCAGCGACGCAGTGGTTGATGTTCGCCTGGACGTGAGGCGTAATGGAGCCATTATTGGGTATCCATCACGACCTCCTCTCTGACGGCAGCGGCGACAGCAGCAGTTGCAGGAGTGTTGGCGACTGTGGCGGCAGCGGGAACGACGGTGGGAGCGGTGGAGGTGGCTAAGGGCCTACCTTTGTTCCTGGGCTTGGTGGGGGGGAGCAGGTTTTGCCCCCAGCCCGGTGATCGGCCGGCTTGCCAGCCGCCGCACATACTACGCAGTGCGGTGAGGCGGTACAAGCGCCGGCCCTGTGACCGGGCTGACCGCAGCGGAAGCAGCGGTCGCTGCGGTCCACCTCTGAGGTGCATTTGGCACCCACATGATGACCCACGAGGCAGCGGAAACACCTCAAAGGTCGGGGTTCCAGGAGCTTCACCTGCGCTGAAACCCAGCCCACCAGGAGCCTTTTGCCCTCTGACAGCTTTTTGGCCGCTGTGACGGGGCAGCTGACTACCACAGTCCGCAGCCCCGTATTCAAAAATCAGCCCTTAGCCATCTAATCATAAAACGATTATAATCGAAAAGAAATAATAATTATTATTTCTTTCTTGAAGCTTTTGACCGCCGATAGAAAACTATTGAAATCAAATCCTCCGCTACCGTAGGTCACCGGTGACCTCCGTGGCGCTTAACGTGTTAAGTAAACTGGTTGCTATGCAACGTTTTGTGTGTTCAGTTCTAGCAAAAACAAGTTTTTATAATTTCCAAAAAACTGGAAAATTCTTTGGCTTTCGAATCCGAGACGTTTTGCAAGGCATTGCGATAGTTTCCAATTCGTCAAATTCAATACTTTGATGCAAATGTCAAAAACTATACTTTTTTATGAAATTTAAAATTTGTATAAACCTCCAATTCTGTCAAAATATTTTTGTGTCAAATATTTTAAGTACTGGTTTTTGAAACCTCGAATTAATTTGTTTTTGACCTAGGAAACTACCCATTTGTTACCCACTTGTCTACTCAAGTAACGAGACAGTAAAATGATATGAATCCAAACTTCCAAATCTTAACTAATACTATTCAAAATTAAATGCGAAAGTAACTCTCTGTGTGTCTGTCTTTTCTTCACGCTTAAACTACTGAACTGATTTGTATGTAATTTGGTAGAGATATAGTTTGGAATCCAAGAAGGGACAAAGGATAGTTTTTGTACCAAAAATCTGCAGGAAGTCACTATTCCACGCGAACGGAGTCGCGGGCAAAAGCTGGTAATATATAATATTCTTAATATGTACTGTATACCTCCAGTATGGACGAGATGGAGGCGCTATGCTCCCGCATCGCGATCCTGTCGGCGGGGCGCGTCCGCGCGCTGGGCACGGCGGCCGCGCTGCGCGCTGCGCATGCGCACGGACACGCCGTCGTATTCAAGGTCAACAACACGCACTCCACCGACGGTACGCACTCACTATCTATACTTTACTTGGCTTTATAATGTTATATGTCAGAATATTTTGCTCTAAACAATAATTTAGGAAAATGTCTACAAATTCTATGTGACCAATCTAGAGAAAAATATTATATGGTTGCCGATTATTCCTTCTTATTCTTCCTTAATATCATTAATAGTTACAAACTACAAAAATAAAAGAAAATAACACAAAAAAAAATATTTTTACAAAAATATTATTAAAAAATTCTTTTAACATGAAAACACAGTGATGTTAATGAATAGACATATAATTTAATAAATTGGCTTTACGGCACAAAAGCGCGCGAAAACAGTTTTTTCTCTGTGACATCTCCGACCCCGAGCAGGGGTGCGCGTGTTTATGACGTAGGACTAATGTTGCCCGCCCTCGCTTAGTAAGATTTTATTCCTATCAATACTAAACTTAAATTATAGAAAAAAAAACATCAAATTATACATCAGTCCGTATGTTACGATTACAGAAGTGGACAGCGGTAAGCAAGAGGTGGATCGGCTGAAGGGCAAACTTCAGGAAATCTTCAACTGTACGCTGAAAGACGAACATAAGGTCAGTACTATACGCTTTAATATCATCATCATCATCCTGATTCCGTCCACTGCTGGACATAGGCCTCCCTAATTGCTCACCACTGAGCTCGATGTTCAGCTTTTCTCATCCAATCACTGCCAGCCACCCTGCGGATATCGTCAGTCCACATAGCTGTTGGGCTACCGAATCCAACTGCACAGAGGCCCTTTAGACAACTTTAAATAAAATGGGATGATTATTATTATTAAAAATTGTTTGTCCACAGACGATGTTACATTACCACATAAACGATACGATGCGGTACAGCGAACTCTTCACAGAGCTGGAAGCCCTAAAGGCAGAGTTTCCAAACCTGATTGAGGATTACTCCGTCACAGAGACTACCCTGGAAGAAGTGTTTCTCTCCTTCGCTAAGGAACAACAGGCGATAAACGAGTCCGTCTGAAGGTCTAACGGCTTATAGAATTTAGGACAAAGGTGCTTTAAAAAGTCCAACAGGGTCACACTCAATATTAAACCCTTAGATTTTGCTCTCAAAGTTCATAATGACTTTTTCCCGAAAAAGTTTTTTGTATGATTTTTATACTATAGATCATTCTTTGATAACTCAACTAACACCACATTTTTCTTGTAAATCTACAGTTAGGTACAAAATGGAAACGTTCAGTGAAATGGTGATTTTTACAGTATTATAATGTCACAGGAAACCACACTCCATAAGAACACTTGAGCCAATCACATTACTTGTTTACTTTAGAAAAAGAGGAATGACCAATAGCGTAACACTAGCTAATTCCTTATTGGTAGAAAATAACCGATACTGTATAATAGCGCCATCTAGCGATCGGAAAAAACTGTAGCCTCACTAAAGCGTACCTATAACAAATAAAGTAAAGTAATATAATATTTATTTTTTCCGAAGACAATTAACAAACAATGTTCAAAGACTTTAGAAACTCCATTTTTCATTAATAATTAAACTTCTACATTCCCCATTATAAGTGTCTAGTCATAAAATAGTATTCTTCTATGCTAGTATCAACTAAACGGTGTGACAACTTTTACAATGAACAATAATAGGTAATGAAATACTTTATTTTTCAACAATGAGTCTTAATTATTTTTCTGGAGTCAGACAAGTCTTAAGTGTGGGAGAGCCATGCTCCGGCACGAATGGGCCGTTGTTGAATTATCTGTATGGTTGAGCCCAATATCCTATATATACCTGCTAACAATTACAAATAATGTACAAAAGCTCTCTAATTAATAAGCTCGAGATAAATCGGCTTGGTTCCTGTGCTCGTCTAGTTTCGAGTCACTCCAGGGCTCATAAATAGCCGTAAATAGTTATCACAAGATAGTTACTACAACAAAGGAATTTGAAATACATTTACACCGAAATATAGCAATTTGTTTCTAACTTGAAGCTTATTTCGTTTAGTAAAAGATCTGATAAATACTTCGATCTTTTATTAAAAATAAGTAAATCGGGTTTTGTTATTCACGCGACCTCCCTTCATACTATCTCTGAGGTTCGGGTATTAGTAATAATTCGTCAATTAACATGTGTCGCGGGTAAGTGTCGTGATCTATCGTTGCAAAAATCTCACTGGTGATCGTTTAGCCGTTTTTGAGTGATTGCTTTGACAAAAACACAAATATTTATTATGTAGGTATTGATGAGTGAGAACCAAAGTGCGCTGATTATGTATGTTTGTAAATGTCCAATTGTCAATAAATCTTTTTTATTCATTAAACCCTAAGAGAACGCCGTGCGCGCATTAATTAGTTACCATTGAAAGGTTAAGATATAGTCAGAGGTATTAAATTCAATAAGTTGCAAATAAAAAGCGATTATCCATCCATTTTTTATGTATGTTGTGACAGTATTAGATCCTTCATCGTCATTACTTCAGATTAAACTTTACATTCTATATATGTAGTAAAAACGAACACACACATGACGCTCGGCACTCTCATTGGCCAGCTTTAAGATAATCAACCAATCAGAGAGCCGAACGTCACAACCGTGTTAATCATCGCCTTAACGTAAATCAAATTAGTAATTGTGTGTAGAACCAGCCTACCGTGGCCTCGCTTTGAATGATCTTTCCACTCATTCAAAGGTCAGTCTATATTGGTTTTTTAGAGCATGAACAAATTTACGATCACAAGCGATTCAAATGGACATTCCATTCCAATTTTCTTTCCCAATACAAAATTAGAAATAAAAATCTCATAATGTATGTGTACTATTGAACTTGGAAGTATATTATCACTGATATTACTAAATAATTTGTGCCTGTTTGTATAATAGGTTAGATTATTTCACGGATGTAACAATGCACTGCACTAAGTGTATTTATTTCTCAATTAATGCGATATTATTAATTAAAGTAAGGAAAAGGCACTGTAATTTAATATAATATGTACTTTGTTAATTATGTTTCCCGGCTAACTCCCGAAAGTGTCGGACGAGGTAACCCGACTCGTCTCAAGCTACGCTCGGAGCTCACATTCATGAACAGTATTGCGCGACAAAACGTAGCTCCTGTAAATTTCCTCGTCGTGAGTAAGCCGTAAAATAAAATTAATTAAATGCTTATATTACAAAAATTTAAAAGCTTTATATTACAAATATAAGTGTGAATATAAATGTATATGCTTTAGTAAATACGGTATTACTTAAATTAATATGTATATAACCGACCTGTATATAAAGTTAGCACGCTAGATACAAAACAAAGGCTTTATATTCTTAAAAGAATATTGGTAATTATTTTTTGGTATTTAAAAAGACAAAACTTGACTGATTTATTAGTACTTATTGTAACTGGAACGCAAATGTTTAATAATTAATTTTGCAATACAATCTTAATATTGTTTGAATGTCCACCAATGATAATGTATTCCCATGATTATGTAAAATTTTGCTACTGAATTATCAATAAATCAAGTTTTTCTCAGAAGATTCCTAAGAGATTCACAAAAAATGTGTCATATACTACTCTAAACCCAAGATTCATGTGAAATGTTAGTTGACTAACAAAAATAAAACTTCACCTACACATGCACTTATAAAACTTTTTCGTGCGCGACATGATTACAAACATTTGAACTGGACCTGAATACACTATCACGCAGATAATGGCGGTTTGGCGCCTTTATCAAAATGATTCATTCAACGTGGGATATTGGGGAGGGTTATTAAATAAATAAACGTTAATAGTTATTGACAAACGAATTATAATTGGTATTCTACAATTAAAATCACTTTACAATTTTATTTCAAGCAGATTAATTCGGATAACAAAGTATGGCTAAACGAGCCTTCGTTAGTGTCCGATAGGGCCCCTGCTCATTCAAAAAGAGAGAAACAACATGGCCGCCCTAAGAACCAACGTTTCGTCATAGCGGCAGCTACCTTTCACTATTTTGCAAACATTTTACTAGAGCAAGCACAAATAAATATAATAAAGAAACCCACATACATACATGGACACTGAAAACATATATAAAACTTCCTTTTTTCGTGTAAAAAATAGACAATATGTTACAATTTTCATTGCTAGCAAACATTTTACATAATCGTGGGCAGTCAGCACTATTTCTTATATTATTTAGGTATCTCTTTGTGTTTTATATGCACAATCTATGTTTCTAGTTATAAGGGGGCGAAATTAGGTAGTATCCCTCAATTTACTATGGCATAAATGGCAATGGGTGGCAAGTGTACCAGTAAAACTGGCGTGCCAATCATTGGCATTTTTCAATAGTAACTTTGAATAAAATATTGCTCGCGAACGGTGTATAAGCAAAAATTGGATGCTACTTAGAAACGGAATGGTGGAATATAGCACGCTTACTGCCTTATTCCTAACATTACATTAATCAATTCTACGTAAAGATTTATATTTATTTATTTTATTCAGTTTTATATTCCCTCTATTATTTTATTTTAAGTTATTTATAAAATGTGAATAAATGTTTTAGTAAAAATATGGTTTTTTAATTCGGAATTTTCTTTTGTTCAGGTCGATAGTCGCCCAGGTGTAACTAGAACATACTTGTTTTATCATAATGCGTAAACCAAAGAAAGATTTACATATAAATTTAGCTATTTACAAAACAATTCATACGCATGTATGACATTAGCATATTTAATGCTATTTTAATTCAACATTAATGCGTGCGAGAAGGCAAGGCCAAGTTCATCTGTTGCTGGTGTTCTTGTTAGTACTCTTAATGATCTGATTTAGATCTAGATTTAGGTCATAGTGTAGTCCTGTCGGTGGCGTGATACGAGCCTTACTACCGTATAGGGAAGTCCTGAAATAGGAGAGTACTAGTCCTCCTTCCTACGAAGAACTTCCTTTTTTTATGTGATGAGTCTGCAAACGAGCAAACGGATTACTGATGGTAAGCAATTAGCCTCCCATGGACAACCGCAACGCCGGGGAGGAGTTAAGAGTGCGTTGCTAACCTTTTGGGGATTGGGGATTTGGAGATTTTGGGAATGGGAGGAATTGGGGAAGGGGAAGGATTGGGCCTCCGGTAACCTCACTCACACGGCGAAACACAACGCTGTGGTTATTTCACGCCGGTTTTCTATGAGGCCGTTTTTTTGTGAGGGGAAAATCATCAAATGACAGGGCCGGGCGGGATGGGAGTGTCAGATTCTAACTGGCTAAAAACCCCCTGTTCCTTCTCCTGCTCTGGGTCGAGGTCGCGGTGCCTCATTGCGCTTACCCCGCAACCCCGGCTGAGGCCGTGGTATCACTGCGGTCGAACCGACCCATTCGTGCCGAAGCATGGCTCTCCCACACTTAAATACCTACTATGTAAATATTATGCTACCTTTGCAAAATTTAATTTAGAGTTTCAACTTTATTACATACTTACCTGCAATACCTATGAAAATCTTGGAATATCTTGTAATCCAGAATCTTTGACGCCCTAGTGAAAATAATACAATATTTGTAATACAAGCCCCTTTCATCACAACCATGCAGGTTGCAGGGCAAGCGCAATTGTGTACCGCGACTTGGCCTGGAACTGGTGCAGGTCAAGGAACTGGGTGGATTCAGTCGAAATTAAACACTCTCAACAGCATATTCCCTCTAAATAACGATAACGATTTAAACATAAGTACCTAATTACCGACACTTACATTGTATTAGTTTCCTGTAAATGTACCTATAATATATTATTATATGTTTAAATGACAAGTATATGATGTTGTTAAAACACAAATCTAGTAATAAAAATATAACATCTAGATTACATCGCAATAAAGTCGCGATTCGTGTATTTTGACGCCTGCTCTGACATGCGTTTCATAGCTCCAACGTAACCCTAGGGAACATTTGCAAACTATGTAGTTGATTGGTGCAGTTCCTTTTATAGCTGTACGTCAATGTATTTACATCCTGTGAGCTAGGCATTACTATTTTATCCACTTCACACAGCTGTTTAGTCAATGTTTTCATCAGTTCGAATACAGAAGAATAGGATAAGAAATATATTAAACAAATACCTTCATAAATACTTTCAGATAGACCATTATTGTTCTTCAGGGTAAAAATGAAATTAATTACTGCTTTATGAGACAATCATTTTTTAATAATGGCATATTAGACTTTCAAATTTTGTCAGGGAAAAATCATCAAATGATTTCTCCCACCCAGGGTTAGGCGAGAAAGAGTTTTACCCTGCAACCCCGGCAAAATTTTGAGAGACATACTAACTGGTCTCAGACTATCCTACTATAAATACAATATACATATAGTATAGCAAAGAAGACCTAAAATATCGATGACAATAATAATATAGACAGTACAATATGAAGGTGTTAAAGTCTGACAACTATCTCACACAACACAGGGTGTGAGAAGAAAAGAAAAGAGAAATAGATGAGTCACAATAAAACAATTTGCTTCAATAAATATTGTATTCACATCACATTAACTACTTAGATTTCAACATTACACTTAGTTTCACATTGGGCTTGCTAGAAATATGAAATTTTAGGAATGTTGCTTAATGCACATTATGAGACGGCTAGTACAGCTACAGCTAAGACAAAATTGATGAACACTTCATTAAATTGTAAGACGGTAATATAAACAATTAAAAATATATATTTGATTGTATCATTAATTCCAATTCAGGTAATATCATTGGGTTAAAAACTTTTTAATCAGCAAAATGCATTTAAAATAATCTTGAAACAAAGTTATACCTACGTAGGTAACAGTAACAACTTAATCTGCATGGAAGATAGTTTTATATAGTAACTGTTATGAGATATACTACATTTATTGAACATTATGACCGAAGGTCTACTAGTTTTAACCTCGTACCGCCCCCTGTACATTAAAATGTACATAATATTAAAAATCATTAAAGCCCAAACATTCTTTAAAAAAGTACACGTAAACGCCCAGCGTACATTACGATGAACAAAATAAATTTCGTGGAAAGTTTAAATTTCCCGCCAGGATACATATTTATGGTGACTTTTATTTGATTTGTGTTTAATGTTGTCAGCGTTTTGACGTCTGTCAACTTCATAGAAAGCATTGGTTGTACGTCAAAATTGCACACACGTGGCAAGATGGCGCGCCGGCAGGTACCACGTAAGTTTGATCCGCTCTTATCTTTTTAATTTTACAGATTTTTGCGTGAAATTTTGACCTTAGTGAAAGAATTATTATTAAAATATTGTGTGATATTATTATTTTAACACTTACATCCAAAAATCTTTTTTAATTCGCTCCTAAAATATTATGTACATTTGATTGTACATTAAGCGTTACTTCAAATT